CACACAGCTCTGGTGGCCCTACTTGAAGGTTGAGAGCTGTGAGCTAATTAAACTAAACATCCAAAGCGAGTATGGACGATGCATCAATGAATTGAAAAAAGATCTGCTGTTGTTAAAAGAGTGCCGAATAGGAAGGACCCCACCATATACGTCGAGAAGCCACCTAACAGATATCACAACCTGTTGCCTTCACATGCTTATCTTTTGCTGCTATTAGGTCTAATGATTCATGAAACGGTACATCTTTCTGCTGAGAATCGTCCACCCACCATGACAAGGGAGCCGTGCCAAAGTGGGGTGAGACTATCAAGAAAGTGATACGAGCCAGTGCGAAGAAACGTGTGGTGGCGAGCGAATGAAACGATAAATGGGTAAGCCTTTTTATTTTTATTTTTTTCTGATTTGCCATGGATTCAGCTTTTGGTTGGGTTTATGTGCTTACGGAAGTTGGACTGCCTCTGGTCGTACGGGTGGCCAGGGCAGGAGGGTCAAAGTCCCACGCCCAAATGGTAGTATTTTCATATTTGAGACTGAGAAGGAAGCTTGTTTAGATTTTTGGGCAGACAGGGTCCTTGCGTTTGGGTGCGTATGTGAGTATGATTTTAATTTGTAGAGAGGTCCAACGCCTATGGACAGATGAGTAGACACAGGGCACATGCTTGGTATTTCACTTTCTTGTACGTAATTGCCCCAGACTTTGAGAAAGCCGACAATCATTGACTCCTTTCAGATTTTATCCAATGACATGATTGGTTTTGTGGTTGGAAAAAAAAAACCCGGTTAAATTATACATATGATATTTTTATTTCTCAGCATCACCTTTTCAAATTAAATAAATTTATGATGTATAATTTATAATTAAATAATTAAACTAAACCGAGAAAGAAGGTGAAAATAGTATGGTAAAAATACAGCGCCAGTTTGGAGTGTTGAGGATTTTGTGTTGTTTCCCGATCGGTGGCTCGAAACAAAATCATGGGGGCGTGCGGTTAACCCTTGATTATCCCTTAAATTAGAAAATATAATATAATGCTGATCCACAAATAATGCATATTGGGTTGAGTCGTGAATTATGGTAATTGAAAAGGGACGTCCCTCAGCATGAGTGAGTTTGTTCTTTCTTATTCTCATTTTTGAGTCATCACTACGCTTGCGGGGATGCATGCACATTTGATATCATACGTAACAACAGTAACACGTGCACAGACAAATAATGGTTGCTCTGCCCTCTAATAATCAGCTGGCATTCCCCCAATATAATATTATTCTTATTCATCCCAGACCGAAGTGAATGAATCAGTTCTCTCTTTGGGCCAAAAATTAAAAATAAAAATAGAGTTGAATGAATCTCCTTCACTCTTTCTCACGGCACGCAGTATAAAGCCATCGTGAATTGGAATATCTGAACAGTATATATCGCCGATCCCAAATCACGACGGATGCACTGTTTCGAAATAATAAGGTTGCTGGGGTTCGTTTCTGGCAATTAATTAGCTAGAGAGAGAGGGGGAAGAGTGAAGGGGAATCAAGTTTGGGTGGTGTGGTGAGGGAGCATATCAATCGGTCAAAGATTGCTTTTCCTGTGTATATATCATGGAGCAGATTTGGTCCTTGTTTGGCAAAAAAAAATAAATTAGGAGTTTGTTAGCTACGATCTGAGTCAAATTAGTTGAGATATCGCCGGAAGTGTTCGTTTTTTATTTAGCATGGTTGGATCTGATTTGATAGGTCATTGAGTGCTAAAATCCATGGCAGTCCCACTTCAGTTTCCGTCTGTCTTCTTATATTTCTTCGTCCAGTGAAAATATCAGCCTTTCAAAATGTTGATTTCCTTCTGTAAACTCTTAGATTTGCGGTGAAGCAGGAGCAAAAACGATGAGTGGAAAGGAAAGAGGGAGTACGAGAATAAGAACAACATAAAGGGACTGCTACTGATATGTTGACTTGGTGGGTCTAACACCACAACCACTCTCTGCAACACGTCTCGTCCCGTCTCGTCCGTCCGCCTTGACGTTAAATTGTTTGTGACTATTTTTATAATGTTATGTGTGCGGCTGGTCGCTGGACGTGGGTTGCGTTGTTTAATTAAAAAAGGCCAACTGAATAATACAGGCTTTTTGTTGATATTAAAGTGCGCGGGCAGTTGACTAAAGGCATGAATAAAATGGAAGGGGAAGAGCAAAATTTCAAAGTATGCGTTGCAGAATCAGCACCCTATTTGAATGGAAGGGCGGAGCCTATAGAATTAGAATATAAGATGCAGCACCGCCTTCTCCAACTTGCCCTGTTATTTATTAATCTGCACACAACTTGCCCCGCTTTTTCTTTCTTTCTTTCTGTGATCTGCTAGGGTGTTTGGAAAAAATACTTTACATATTTATTTTATATATAGTAAAAGTATTTTTAAAACTATAATTTAATTTCTATCCAAACACTCCTTCTATTTGTTTCTTCCTGGCCATCCAACGACAGGGCTGCTTCCTATGGTCAAATCCCATCTCTTTTATTCTTTTATTGTTGCTATGCATTAATTCAAAATGAAAACTCTTCACCCAACAAAACAGCCATAAATTAAATTTAAATATAAATATATTGAAATCGTGTGTGTATTGGGAAGCATTACTTAAAGATGAGAAAACAGGCTCTTTATGGCAGTAGCATTTGGGATAAGGAGGAAACCCAAAATGGGGTTGGGTATGGTGGAGAGCCACCAAATTCAAAAGGGTAAGTTGTGGGTTATTACTCATCAGATATACTAGTTAGATTTTTGGAGATGCGGCTTGATGAAGGCATGAAGCAAAAGTGGTCAAACTTTCGGTCTCCACGTCCCTGTCGATCAATTTACTTATACTCTATCTCCCCGCTCGTGTCCTTTTCTGTCAATCTTTTCTTATTATTATTATTATTATTATTTTGTGGTGATCCCATCTCGTATTATTTATTACTTGACTACTTTTGCTTTTCCTTTCTGCCTTCTCCTGTATTTTTTATTATCATTTCTCCTAAACTGACTTCCAGGCTCAAGTTTGCTACGCTATAGATAGGTAACGGTGCTCTGCTTGTTATTTTATTTGGGAGGGAGGGGGTGTTTATTAATGTATAATACTCCAAAGTGGAAAAGGAGGTCACACGAACATGCTTTCTCCCCGTTTTGTTGCGTGAAACTTGGGCTTGTGATTTGTCGACCTCACGCATCCTCAGTGTTTGATTAAATTATGAGTTAGGCAGCCACACGCGGAGGGGGTAAATTTAGTTTTCACTTTTCATCATACCATCCCTCCCCCCACCCTTCTCTTTATTTCTTCCGCTTTCGGTGCTATTATGCCCTTTTTTTACTTTCCTCCTTCCATATGATTACTCTTCTCCCGTCTTCCTTTCCTCTTTCTGCATTGCCTTCTGTTTTTTTCCCCTCCGAAAACTATTGAATTTTACTTTGTTTTCGGGTTCAGATGCAGTTATTGTAAAATGACTACATTGGTGGTAGCATCTGCTGGTCACTCGCGCCCAAGGAAGCTTCCAATCCTGTGTTCCTTTCTCATAAATTTTTTGGCAGTTTTTTTGTTAACGACATGGAAAAGATCGAGATGAAGCAACAATAATTTATTTAATGGACTGATTTGGTGATATGGTGTCCAAATGTGCTTAAATAATATATTCTTTTTTGGCCAAATCAAATGGTATTTTCCACAAGTGATAAATAACGTGATTTTCTCAACCGAACAAAATATTATTGTTACCTGAATTGAAAAAAAAAATATGAAAGAAATGGGAGAGAAATGATCGGGTACAACAAAGCAGGAGGAAATTGGGTGCGTCCGGCCAAAGTGAGGAAGAGATGGGACACCAGTAAGAGCCGGTTGCACTCGGGTCCACCCCCACGTTTTCATCCGCTCCCATCATAGCCTTTCATTTCCATTCATTATACCACGTGTGCCCCCACTTCTCTATTTCATCCCATCCCTCCCCCCTTCTCAACCCCACACCCCATCATATCATCCAAATCCACTTTTATTTGCACGTCCGCGAACAAAACCCGTTTTTCTCTCTCTAATTAGTTTACAACAGTTGTTAACCACATCAAATTATATTATTGTCTTAACCAATTCTACCCTTGTTATATTACCATCCAGTGATTTTTTAATGCCAATATTTAAGTGTTAGCGATTCCATTTGCCAGCAGAAAAAAATTAGTAACTACAATCTTTTAACCGAGTCTTGTGTTTCTAAGATGTTCATCATGCAAATGCCGTTTTCGTTTTAAAATTTGCACATGTAAATGTAATTTCATGGTGCCAATTGATTTCACACAAATTTTGCGGTGGGAAAATCACGTGAAAAGAAGTTAAAAATTATAATATTTTAATTCACGTATCTAAGAGATCAAAATCCTAAAAAAAAATAGTGTCTATTTTGTAAATATAATCAAATGACTAAAATGCTTTTATATTATATTTTTCTAAAAAAAAAGCTATCAATCTTATCATTGTTAGGTAATATAATATATTTTTCGTTCTTAGTTGTTCAACACTTATTATTATTAGTTCACAACTTATTAATAAATAACTTGTCATTTGTTGTTTAATACATCAGTCTTTACTAATTTAGAACTTATTAATAAATTTTTTAATATAAGAATATTTTTGTCATTTAACTATATTTATAAAATATCAGGTTAGGCGTTACTTTCTCCTTAAAAATTTTAACTTTTAAAGTACCTAAATTAAAATATTATAATTTTTAACTTCTTTTTTAATTTTATTTTCGCTTTTGAATATCTTAAAAGTTGAAAATTCGACCCAATCCGAGTACATGAACCATTGACATCAATCTGATTCATTAAGGATTAATTAACCATTAACGAGTCGGGAGCAAAAGGACAAGTGTGGAAATGACGTCACCTACCTTTGACTCACTTTCCTCTCTCCCCCCTCCAGTCTCTCTCTCTTCTTTTAAGACTAAACTCAACCAGCCCACCTCACCCCCGGGTTCTTTTCCTTGTCTCCTCCGCTCCATCCACTGCCTCACCCCCTTCTTCTCCTGCTTGCCAGATTTTCTCACAGTTTCGCTGCATCCTTACGACCATAGTCACTATGGTGAGAGATGATCTCTGCATCACAATTCCTAGCTTCTTCAGGTGCCCAATATCGCTCGACGTCATGAAATCCCCCGTCAGCCTCTGCACCGGCGTGACGTACGATCGTTCCAGTATCCAACGCTGGCTCGACGACGGCAACAACACCTGCCCCGCCACCATGCAGGTGCTCCAATCCAAGGAATTTGTCCCTAACCTTACTCTCCAGAGGCTTATCCGGATCTGGACTGACTCCGTTCGACGACCGATCGAATCTGCCGGCTCCCCGGCTGCCAAATCAGTCCCGTCCCAGGACCAAGTCGTCGACGCTGTCCGAGATTTGGAAGGCACGAGCGGAAACACTTTGTACTCCCTCGCTGGAATTCTATCCTTTGCCGAAGAATCCGAAGAGAACCGCGAATTCCTCGCCAACATAGCTGGATTGGTACCTTTGCTCGTTGGTTTCCTCGACAATGTCGATGGTGGAATTACTCGGAGCGTTGAATTTCTTGAGAAAGCTGTCAGGGCTTTGGGTTTGGTCATTAATAAAGCAAAAGATGACGAGACATTGAGGCATTCGATTGTGAAGAGCCAGCAAGGCAATTGTTTAGCTTCTCTACTTCTTGTCCTGCAACGAGGCAGCTCTGATTCGAAAATTGCGTCGGCTAAGATTTTGAAATTCGCCGCTATGGACGTGGAATCGAAAATCCTTATCGCTGAAAAGGAAGGCCTAATTCATGAATTGCTTAAAATGACGACATCAGACAAAGATGCGATGCTAATCGAGAACGGCTTATCCTGCTTGGTGGCGATCTCAACGCCGAAACGAAACAAGGCGAGATTAATCCACCTCGGGGCTGTGAAGAAATTATCGGAATTGCTTTCGGAGTCGAAGTGGAGCGTTTCCATCACCGAGAATGTGCTGAAGCTGCTAGAAATGGTGTCGACGACCAAGGAAGGAAGGTTGCAGATTTGCGAGGACCCAACTTGCCTGGCATCGATATTGCAGAAGGTCCTGAAGGTGTCAAATGTCGCAACGGAGCACGCAGTGACTATACTTTGGAGCGTGTGTTATCTATTTCGTGATCAGAAGGCGCAGGAAGCGGTGACGAAGGCGAACGGTTTGACCAAGATTCTGCTCTTGATGCAGAGCAATTGTTCGCCGGGAGTTCGCCAAATGTGTGCCGATTTGCTCAAGATTTTCAGGGTTAACTCCAAATCATGCCTCTCTTGCTACCACACCAAGACCACCCATATAATGCCCTTCTGATCTTCTGATCGATATTCCCTTTTACATCTCTTCTCATTCGAGAAGAAGCACAGATAAAAGAAAAAAGAGGAGGTTGTAAATCTAACGAAATTTTGTTAGTGAATAGTCAAACTGAAAAGTGAAATTCATTTTTAGCTCGTTTTCCTGTGTCGTCCGACTAGATCTCTCTTTTTTGCCTTTAACCCTGTTCTACACCGTGAATGTATGTGTTGTTGATATATCATATCACAGCAGAAACTGAATAGAAAGGTTTTCTTTCCTTCGGACAAAAGCCATAAGAAATTCCTGACTTCTCAAGTACAATTCCTTCTGTGAAGTAACAGAGAACGTTCTGATCTAATATACAATCTACAACATTAGTAGACAACTAGACGTTCAACTTGGATTGTGTTTATACCGTTTACTGGAAGTTTGTTCTGGAAACCCTTTTTTTTTTTGGGGGCGGGGGATCGATGCTCAAGGGAATAACATATATTAACGAAGGATGAGATTCCAGAGTCAACCGGAAAGAGATGAGAGCTGAACTGAGTTTTGCTTGGGATTTTTAAAAAAAAAACAGAGAGAGAAGGGAAGTTGAGAGAGAAGAAGCAAACAGGGGGCCGCAAAATGCTAGGAGGAGTTGGGTTTGCTTTGCGGAGTGTGTTTGTGAGCTTTTTGCTGTTTGCAGGAAAGGCATGAAAAGGATGGGAATCCCAATGGAAAAAAAAAAAAGGCAAGGGGGTTCGTTCAGATCAATTCTACGTTTGACCACTCCAATCCCTGTGGCGTCCGTGCACTCTGCAAAAGCAGTGTAGGCCCCTCAACAATGCCCACCCTCCATTTTTATTTTAATAAGTTTTATTTAATTAGATGATTCATAATCTTGTGGGGGGAAAGTGGCCATTCAACGCGGCATACTCGATACTACTACAAAAGAAATAATAGAAAACGTATTTGGGAGCATAGCATCGGTGGAATTTAATTGGGCAATAAAATAAAATGAAAAAGTTAGGTATTGTTGGGGCGCCAAGCATGATGTATTTTCGTAATGGGGCAATAATTTTGGGGGATTTTATTGCGGCATTAATGGAAAGAGTAAGTTTGTGTGGTTGGTAATAAGTAATCAAAGAGACCCTGCAAGTTGCGTGTGGGCGACGGTGCGGGATGACTGTAATGGACAATTCACGTTACCAGGAGGAACCCATTTATTACAAGCTTCCAACGAAGCTTTCACTTCTTCACACGTCTTGTTTTTAGCCGCACGGCCACACGTTTCATTCTTGCAGCAATGCTATTTACAAAAAACAATGATAATAATAATCATTGTGTAAATAATTCTCCATGTTAATTTTTTAAAAAAAAATATAGGATTTTCATCGTTTTTATTCATAAAAGACTATGACATCAATACTCCTCTGATCCTATTTGTAAAACAAAGAGAGAAGATTTTTTTTGTCCTATTTATAAATCATTTCACTAAATTTTTATCATGAATGTACTATATTGTCGTTCATTTATTATAGTGTAGATAGTTATTTTTTTAAAGATATATTATTAAATAGAGATAAAATTAAAAAGTTACTATATTTTAATAAAAAATTAATGTAATCAGGATCAACTATGACAGAAATAAAGCATTGGGTCGAACTCTTCTTTAGTGTTAAGGTAATAGCTATGAATAGTCATTGACTCCCCGTAAAGGGTAGAACCGTAGAAGAATGGGACCTTTTTTTTTAATTTATATAAAATGTATTAGAAGTTTCTTATAAAAAAAATAGATGAGTATATGAATAATGATGCTATTTTTTTCTGGGCTCCAGATAATCCGGGCGGAACAAATACATGAACATGAACATGGACATGAAGACGGAGATCATCGCTATCAAATCGACCCGATCTCGAAAAATGACAGCTCATTTGATTTATTTATTTATTTCGAGATTGACGTTTCGATACATTCTCTTTGGTTTTCCTGCTCCGCAGGTGCGGCTTTCCCATTCACGTGGGCTTCTCGTTTCCGAAGCCGTGCCCCTCAGCTCCTATCATTCCTATTTTTCCCGTCAAAAACAAAAACATCCTCACAACTAAATCAAAGCACGAAATGACTTTGATGTGCGAGAAAGTAATTAAACTGATAATATCCAACACAACATGAAAATTATTGCATATGTGTTTATCCATTTGATTGAATAGAGAAACATTAAAATACAGTGAACTATAAGCTGCATGTGTCCGTTTGATTAGTTTGTCAAGTTTCCAAGATACTCACGAAACAGGATTATTCAGTTGATATTTTCTTTTTCCTTGTTCTCCTTTTGAATAAATCAAGATGCTCAATTTAGGATAAACGACAGGCTAAAAAGACAAGCTTTTTTTTTTTTTTTGAGACAAGCTTTCGTTTTGCATCTGAGATTGAAGTTGAGGCAGCTTTTAAAGCTTCTGGGGCGGTGCTTCAGGCGAGACCCACCTTTGCATGGTAATAATCATACAAGAGCTGAAGGCATCCTCCTCCTGGATGGGCCCATGAAAGTAGGTCCGTTCTTATTTTGCTGGATTTAAGTTCACATTTCCTTTTTCCTTTGAAAAAATTCTATCCCCATTGCCGAGGAATTAGATGCGGTCTTAAGACCACCTCTCGTATTAATATAGTTATAATTATTGCTTAAAAGCAATTGTATTTATTATTAATTTGTAATTCAGGGTGTGGTGAAATCTGAACAGTCCCAATTTGAGTTATTAATCTATATAACGGAGGGCAAAATGCTCAAAATTAACAAAAATATTAATTTTTTTAAATAATTATTGACTACTGTTATCTAAGTTTTTTTTTTTATTAGGCTTGATTAAGATTAAGTCGATGATATTTTATTTTTACATCTACGTGAATTTGTACCCAAACCCTCATGTCTGAATGATCTTTCAGTCATACGAACACTTATTAACATAAAGGAAAAGTTTAATTTTGGCAAAAAACAAAAACAAAAAGGTGACGTGACGCGGGGTTTGGATTTTAGGGGGACATTCCGCGGGAGAGAGGTATGGGCATTACGGGAGAGACGGGCTGTCAACAGTCCAGTTCACGAGACAGAGAAGAGAAAGGCATCCTTGACCATCGCTTTATCTACAGGGTTGATTTGATCGGCCGTCATCATGAGCTTCACTGAAGAAATAATTCAAAAGCAGCTACAAAACAAGTCTTAATAAAGAGATTTTATTATCTACGAGTCCCTCATAATTTCATATACAAATTTGTTATTTCCATCATGATCCTTAGAGGGTCAGCATAATTACACCAACATGTATTAATTGTTTGAGGTGACAAGTCAGAATTAAACCCATAACCTATCCCTTTTTTCCCCCCTTAAAGGCAGTTGAGGGTAAATTGGTCTTTGTACTGATGGTTCATGAAAATTGTGGCATGAGATACAGTGGGGAAAAAGGAGGAGAAGTGATTGGGGCCGGGGGAAATGGGGGGAAAGGGAGGGAGTGATTGATGAGGGAGAAAAGCGAGACCCGCATGGTGCAGCGCGCATTGTAGAAATGGGGAGTTTGTCGTCACTGAGGTTGGCATTACTTTGTCGTCCCCAGGAAAGGGCAATGCCGAAGTGATCGTGTGCATGTACGTGCGTGTGTAGAATAAGCTGTTGAGCATATATGTTGGCTACTTGACATGACGGATGATGAGTTACGCAGCGGTATAAAGTTTTTGGCCCCGCGGGGGGCTGGGGGATCATGTATTGTAAGCAAAACAACAAAAGATGAGAGGGGCGGGGCCATGTACACACACACACGAATAATAAGTGGGATTATTATTATTATTATTATGGAACATAATAATGCAAGCGTGTGAGGGAGTAGGTGTTGGTGACTGTTGGGTGAGGATGAATGAATGGGTGGATTTAGGTAGGGGAGTGGGCGTGTCATATTATGGGTAACCCCATCCCTTTCTGTTTTCCTCCCTCCTCCTCGTTATTATTTGCTCCCCCCCCCCCCCCCAAAAAAAAAAAAAATCATTCATAACCCCCCCCACCCACAAACCTTTTTTCAATAGTCCATTAACTGAATCATGTTTATCAGAAAGTTAGTTGAAATTGAGCAGATGTTAAATTTATATATTTAAAAAAACCTTTATCCATGACAAGCGAGCGTCGGAGAGAAACTAAGCAAATTATTGGAACAAGGAAGTATGTGGAATAAAGAGAGAAACGCAGGAATGAGTACCTGAACAATTTTCCCTGATAATAAATGTCATCATATTGATATGAGTAATTATATGGGGCAAAGTAGGAAATCAAAAAAACAAAAATGGAGGCAACACTCAAGTTTCTCTTGTAAAATGAAAACAAAGTATATCTAAAGCTCTGATAAAATGGAATGGAGCAAGTGTGTGTGTGTGTGTTTTCTAAACTCATCACCCACGTTTCATTATTTTCACATTTACTCCTTTTAAACTCCTACCCTTCCTTCTCATTACATTTAGCTTTAACGCATTTTTTCAACCTCAAACCAAACACACTGGGATCCGTCATGAAGGATTCTTAAATTTTTTTCACCCCCAAAATAGATCATTTGATTTAATTTGAATTATGTTACTTAGTAGTAACATCTAATATTCGGACAACAGAACCACGCATTTGGAATTGGCGCGGAATGGCAGATGGCGAAGCAACGGACTCAGAAAAACCAAAACAAACGGAGATCATGTATTCTTTTGGGCCGACCCTGATCCATGATCCAATATACCTGGCGCAGGCTTGTAGGGTGAAAATTGTTCTCATCCTCTCATCAACCCAAGGATCTTGGGCCCGACATCATCCTCTCCTGTGTCAGTGTTTAACACTTTGGGCTTTTCGTGATCAGGCTGGCCCTTTTTACCCATTGGGTAAACCAACATATTAGTCTTAATGATTCACCATGTGAAGCTTCTCCCCCCGCGTCACATACATTGTTTCCCCCCTGTATCTTCTGGGGCGGTACCTGAGCACATAATGCTGAACTGCTCTCTCCGAAGTTCAAGGGGCCACCTACAGAATATTCCTATACACCAATTTCGAATGGCAAAACCAACTCAGTGGCTTTATATTAATGAACTAAACGCACTGTTCGAAACAAGTGTTTTCAGTCTTGGCCCTTTCTCACGTAGAAGGAGAACAGTCCTTGATTTGACCCCGAAAGAATGTGAGCTGTGAGTGATTGACAAGAACCCTATTACCACCTGATATTAAGAAGGTAGCTTGCCAAAAGCACTTTAAGACTTGTGGGTACCAGACAGCTATTGTGTGTGGATTTTTCTGTGAGAAAACACGGAGGGACCATGTTTTGCCACGCCCTTTATTTGACACCCCATTACGCTGTGGCTTGCTCCCCCCTGACATTATTCCTTTTCATCAGGAGATTGCTTCCATTCCTTTTATTTCTATCTCAGCTTCTCTTTCTAAATTCTCCAAGTCTCTATGCAAACAGTGTCGCCTCTTTAAATGTGAAAGCCCCACACATCAAAACCAGAACGATCAATAATGTCTTAAAATGTTCAATCCTCAAATGTAATTGGCTCCATTAAAGGCAAACTTGTGACACACACACATGAAAAGACGAGTATAATTTCTTTCCCTTCTATATACTACCTTCAATCCTTAATTTTTTAATATAAGAACTAGTTGATTAATTTAAATATATCAAAGAAGCTTGTTAAATTAATTATTAGTAATAAATATGTGTTATCTTTCTTAAGATATCCTTACTAATCAAATGTATTAGCTATGTAGTATTTAACATCACCTTCGTCCCCATCCCCATCTCAAAATCCTACTTTTCTCCTCTCTTTGACCGATATCTCGGTTTTCAAATCAATCTGTTATGAATCAGCATCCGCAAATTCGTGTCCTCTTTTGGCACTGTCTTCTCTTCCATACTATTCTACAAGCAGCCATGTGCGTGAATACACAGCCTCCTTAACCTATTATGGTTTCTCATTCCATTTTTTTTTTGTACAAATACAACACAACACGTGGCATCCACAGCACACACCAAACCCACCCGCTTCGACAATCTTCTTTCAATCACAGTAACTACTCAGCAAGATCCAGGGGGAATAATAATCATGGCCTTCAGATTCTCTTTCAGGAGTTCTGCAGAAGCAACAATGCCAGTTTTGTGGGCCACACGGCCTATCTGTGGAAGCACGAGAAATAATATTGAGCGGGCAATTTGAATGTTATTTGATTGAGATCGGCAACAGCAATTAGGTTCCCTACGTATATGAGTATTTGGCCACACACGCAATATCTGTTGGTGAATCCAGCCATTAATTATTTACAATCCCTTTGATTAATGTTGATTGGTGCGGTTTTCTCATTATAATATCGGATTGAAAGCTTGCCGACTTCTCTTTTCAGAAGATGGTCCATTGATCCCCGTGTGTTTGGAAGACATATAGATTGAAATTTTAATTCTATAGGAAATTTTAATTATTTTTGGGCCAATGAAAGATTTTGTATTCCTTTTTTTTCTATGAGATCGGTCATGATCTCCGTTAATTAAGATGTTTGGCAGAAGACTCGTTATGGGTGGTTTTTAGTTGAATGTACATCAGTATTTCACAAAGGTGATATGGCAATCCTATCACAGTCGATGGCTCGATTCCATATGTTTAGCCTAAATTTACAATTATATACCACGTAATATTAATTAGTTATTATTATTACTGCCCTTTTTTTTTTTTAACTTATTGACACGAGATGGATGAGAAGTTGGTGGTCTTCTCTATATAGCGATCAAGAACACAGCAGTCATCACAGTGTCGCTGCAAAGAAGCAACAGCAAAAGGTGCTACGAATTTCCCTGTCGTTTTCATCCATCTTTAAGGTCAGCTTTCAAGCCTCATATTTTATTCTGAATTAGTGACTCCTGATCACGCTTAGTGATTTCTTCTTCTTTTCCCCCTCTCTCTTTTTCTCTTCCTCTCCTTTGCTTTATTGTTAATTAATAAAGGCTAATGTTAAGGTGTTGAATTCAGTGGAAGTCGTTGTTTAGAAAAACAGTACACAGTTGGAAGTCGTTGTACATTACGATGTTTGCTGTGTTTGTTACTGATCTGTCTCTGCCTCCTTTTCGTTGGGTCAGCTTGTTCATGTTATAAATGAAATGGCTGTTTTTATGCAGAGACGAAAATGAAATCTCCAGAAAGTTAATTAAATATTTTGGGATGACAGCATAATATTTTCGTTCTCATCTCTTTCCTGTGGATTTTGCTTTGCTGAGAAAGCAGAATAAGAAAGTGAGTGCGACCCCAAAAAAAAAAAAAAAAAAAAATCAATTGGTTACACCAAACCTCTAATTATTTAGAAATGATATATACTATTGCTGATTCTCTCTCTGCCATTCAATTGTCACAACGTAGCCTTATTCAATTCAATCCATGAATGTGTGTTTGTGTTGTCTTGTTTTATAAATCGGCACTATAGCCTTATTAAAATTTGGTGAGTAGGTTAAGAGTGTTTATAAATTATAACTATTTCTACAGAAAAATTAGCATCTATTTTTTTTTTTAAAAAACGGATCATTGAAATATTTTATTTTTGAAGTTCAATACTAGTTTTTTTTTTTTTTGCTTTTTTGGGCAGAGCTTGTAGTATCTTTTAAGATCACGTAGGGATGATTATAATTATAATAATAACTGTATAAATTAAAAAGTTGGGTACTTAGATGCAATTTGCTACTTTCTGTAATGAAAATTCTGGCATATCCGTTACAGATTGTGCTCGTGTGATTTGCAATATGTTGCGGATATATACAACCTACTTAAGTAATCAATCAATTATCAATTAATGTCATAAAAAAGAGTAAAAACGACTCAGCAGCAGGGACTGGGGCAATCAAAAAGAGAATCCTATCATTTATAAACATTTCTGTGACGTGTTTTAAAATGGTCTATTTAGGCTGTACTGTGTGCCACCTTACAAATATTCTTGTCAGAAAATTGATGGAGGTATTTTCCGGGTATGCCCCTAACACGAGGGAGAAAGCATCCAAGTCTCACCGATCCCAGACATCAGATCAACGGTTCTAAACGGTGCCCCTGTCGGAGTGATTTGGAAGCTTCCTTCCACGGACTCTTCCTCCTGATAACGACTTCCACTGTCCTCCTTCTGAACTTCAATCTCTCTTTTGTTCACATTTGTGTTAATTCCAATTCTTCCCCGTAGATCTTGAAACTCACATCACACCAACATAATTACTATCACTTCAATAAAACCCATCACTCAGGTTATGCATTTTCCTAATCCTTCTTTCTCAGATGACTTTCAACTTGACGTTGAACTCTCAATGTTATGGAAGATGGAGACCTTTATTTACTCTAATAGGCTTCTTCCAGTGACACAGTCTCGCCGTACAAGCTGGCCGTCCCTCTCCCGTGGTTCTCTCTCTTTATATATCTGTCACTCGGCAACGAGTGCACTCATAAAAGGGTTTGATAAGCCAGAGAGTATGGATCCAATGGCAGAGATCTGAGAGAACAGGGGCTTCTCTCGTAAGGGTTAATTGGGGGGAGGACGATGGGTCCTCTGTAGTTTCAGTTCCACCACGTGAGTTTCTACTCGTAGCTTATTGCTAAAAAAATCCACCCAAAGGACAAGCCGCGATTTAAAGAAATTTCCTTTTTTCTGAAACATCTTTTGCAGAAAGGGGAAAACTTGATACCTGCTTTTAGAGAGAGAATCTGATAGCTCTGGGTGATAGAAAGTGGCAAGAGAGAAAGGCTCTTTCCATGTCATTAAAATGGGAAGCTGAGGAATATGCAATTCATGACCCTCCAGACCCTGCCACAACAAGACGTTCTGTTTCCCTCCTTTAATTTTTCTCTCTCGGATTAAACGCCAACCCCGAGCCAGAAAATTGTCACGCATATTTTTACATTCTGAAAAGGAAATACAAGGCCGAGGTAATATACGCAGAAGACACACACTGAAGCGCGAAACCCAACCAAATTAAATCTGGACTGAATACAGAGCAAGAGTTAGTTGGTTTATTGCTGTAATAAGAAACCCTATGTGTTGTTCCAAGTGGACACCTGCCACTCATAGGCCTTCTAGAGTTTCGAGTCATCGCTTTCGCTAGCTCGAAGGGTATCATTCTCGCTACCCATCTACTTCTCTCCCTCTGCTATCTTTGTTAGCTGTAATCGTTGCTCCCTCGTGCTGTTATCCCCTGCTTTTTTTGGCCCCCTCTCTGGTTTTCATCTCACTCTTTCCCGCCGTTTCCAGTTCCACCTTTCATGCCAACTCTATGGACCCTTTTTAGAGACATCTCGCTGACCCGTGTAGCTTTAAAATCATTGTCATTAATGCCGCTTTTAATTCGTAATGGATATCCTGCATTTAAAACCAAGATTTTTTTTTTTTAATTCTGTTGACACTTTTCTCGTCTCTGAATTTGATGTAAAGCAGATTTGATTCGCTGAATCGAAATGATAGTACTACTAGCATAGGTAATAGTTAATAATTAATTAGCTCGCCTCACTCTGAATCCCTCCTGATTAGTCGTCCCATTTGTGTATTGATACATAGGTGGGAGATTACAGAACATGAAAAGCTAAAGCCGTAGGGTGGTTGCGGAAGCAGAAACAGCAGCAGAGCGTCTTGTTTCCCGGGCCGCGCCGCTCGTGTTTGTCGCTCGTGCGCTTCACAATCTGCAATCCCAAAATTCAGATCTCGAGACAAACTCTAAAGTTGTCCTCTGGCCGACATATATGTTACCTGAACACTGGTTTGATTTCTGAGCGACGCATCCTCTCCTTCTCCTTCACATCCACCTTGGCCTTCACCTTTCCTTCCTCCGCCAATTTCTCTTCATCCCTGCTCGTGGCACTCTTTTAACTGTTTTGGGTTCGATACAGAGCACTTGAAAGCTTTGGGCTTTGTTTTAATATTGGGTTTGAATTTGACCCCTGACTTATTGCAATAGCCGCTAAAACGGGAGGGTCGGTGATCATGTTTGGTCTTGTTATTGCTCAGCGTTGAAGCCCTCCCACCCAAAAGGTTAGCCAATGTTCACACTGCTATTTTATTATTCAATTCAATAGTCTATCGAGGTTTGGGAAATAATTAATTAATAATTTTTTATGCTTTGCTATCGGGATCCTTCTTGAGGTTTAGAACATGCGAAAAACGCTTGTCATTGGTTGTCTTGTTGAGCTGCTAGTTGGTTCCTCGTACTTAGCCCACTCTGCTTTTGTAACATTTTAATATTGAGCTAGTTTCGCATAATCAGCGAGAAACTTTCGGACAAGAATTGGGGTCTGGGCTGGTTTTGGGTATTTAAGAGATTATATGCTGCTGATTGATGGTTGAGGAAAAAGCGTTGGAGTTGATAATTTCATGTGGAACAGGAGGCTTTGTCTCTGACGACAAGATATGCTTAACTCCGATGAAGCAGATATTGAAATATTCTTCGACTCAGCGGATTTTCTGCCACCTCAACACTCTGTTTTAGACGAAGAGTTGGGTAGTAGCAAGTTTGGGTACGAAGTTTGGGTGAATAGGCCTCAAAGTGTGAAGGAAAGACGGCAACGTTTTTTCCAAGAAATGGGGTTTGTTGATTTTTCTTCGAACCTTTGCTCTCAAGAGATTAACGCCTTGGAACTTGAAAGGATAATGGAGAGCGAAGGCGCAGCATCAAGTGCCTTCAGTTCCTCTCCCGAAGAAAACGTCTTGTTTGATGAACGTAACGGAGATGCAAACTTTGAAAGGAAGGTGTGTGAGTCATCTTCTTCAGGTAAAGAGCACAGGCCCGGAGAAGCTGAGGCATCAGAGGAATGTCAATATGGTCCCTTTGATATGGGTAAAAAGAAAATGAAAGGCTGGTGGAAGCTCTTTGTGAAGAGCAGGAAAACAATTGGAGGGAAAGTGCGATCAAAGTTGAAGCGAGAGATGAGTAAAACTCGCAGAATCAATGTAAAGCAGAACAAAAAGAGGTGGATGGAATTGAGTGCCTTGTACTTAGGACAAGAGATCAGAGCTCACGAAGGACTAATCTGGACTATGAAGTTTAGTCCTAATGGTCAGTACGTAGCAAGTGGAGGTGAAGACGGGGTAGTGCGGGTATGGCGTATTATCTCAATGGATACATCCAGCATTTGTTTCGATGCAGAAGACATTAATTCTACCAGCAAAGTGAAACAAGAAATCTCTTGTTCTTGGAGGAAAAAGTCAAATATATCCTTCATGGCGCTTCCGAACAAGGTTCTCCAAATTGAGGAATCACCACTGCAAGAATTCTTTGGTCATATCAGTGACGTCTTGGATTTGGCTTGGTCTGATTCAAATGTGAGTTCAACATAAAGATTCGTTACTTTTCTTCTTCTATGCTTGCAATGCATCCTATATATTATGTATGCGATTTCTAACAGAGCTGATCTAAAATGCTTTGGTTGCAGATTCTTTTGTCGTCTTCAATGGACAAAACAGTTCGATTGTGGCAAATTGGTTGTGATCAATGTATGGGTGTCTTCCGTCACAGTGATTATGGTAAGTATGCAAGAGCCAGACTTTTGGCATTCCTCTTTTGAACTAGATAAAAAATTTGCACCAATCTATATTTTTGTTATAATGTAAACTAATTATGGGATCGGCCTACAAATGGAATTGTAATTTTGTCTGTTCTATAAATGGAACAGTGACTTGCATCCAAGCAAACCCAGTTGATAAAAACTACTTCATCAGTGGGTCTATAGATGGCAAAGTCCGAATATGGGGGTTACGTGAAAAGCGAGTTGTAGACTGGGCAGATGTACGAGATGTGATTACGGCTATAAGTTACCACCCAGATGGGAAGGTATTATGGCTATGAATACTTTACCCAATCTTTCCTGATATCTTTCAGGCTTTTCACTTGTTATTCCATTGAAGACTCAGAACTGTGTGCACGAGACTGATCAACTTTTTTCTTTCTACTGTACCCAGGGGTTTGTAGTTGGATCCATCACAGGCGCTTGTCGTTTTTATGTTGCTTCAGGTGTGTACTTGTTGGTTAATTTCGACATGATGGATCCCATTTAAAAAGGACAAATTTTTGAGAGTCTAAATTGAATTTCAAATGGTCTAGGCAAACATTTCCAGCTTGAGGCAGAGATATGGGTTCATGGGAAAAAGAGATCAGCTGGCAACAAGATTACTGGCATTCAGGTTTCTAATCTTGAAATTGTTTACCAATTTTATGGAGCGATCTGCACTTCATTGACTAATATTTCAATACCTTTTTTTCATTGCAGTTCTCACAGAAAAAGCACCAGAGAGTTATGATCACATCAGAAGATTCCAAAATTCGTGTGCTCGATGGTTTCGAACTTGTCCAGAAATTTAAAGGTAGGATGCTTAAGTGACAAGATCATATTGATACTAGGATAATTTCGAATATTCGCAATATAGGGCCTACTATGAAAATTTCTAGAAAAGCTGACCTTATTTTTCCTCCCGCAGGCATTCCCAAGTCAGGAAGCCAGACATGTGGGTCATTTACATCAACAGAAAATCACATCATATCTGTTGGAGAGGACTCCCATGTGTGCATTTGGAATTGCAATGGCTTGGAACATTCGTCATCCAAAGCCATAAAATCTCAGCGTTGCTGTGAGTACTTTTCCACTGAAGGTGTTACTGTGGCCATACCCTGGTTGGTAAATAGTACAGAACATGCAAGTTTGTGCGGCAACTCAGAAATGCAACATCTCCAGGAGGCTCGTCCTAGTGTTAGAGATTCAGAGCGTTTCTCTCTGGGTAATTGGTTCACCATGGAAGGCACCTGCCGGGGTTCAGTGACGTGGCCGGAAGAGAAACTTCCGACTTGGAATTTTCCATTTGCAGAAGACGAGTATGATCCCATAGAGCTTTGCAACAGAGATGCTTGGCATGAGAGAGTTGGATCAGAAACATGGGGACTATCCTTTGTGGTGGCTGGTTTGGATGGAACGATCAAGACATTCCATAACTTTGGATTGCCTGTTAGGCTTTAGAACTTCGTCTTGCCTTATGTTGGTGCTGTAGCAAGTTCTAGGAAGGGTCTGTTCTTTGATTATGCAGGTTATCCTTGATTAATTAATTAGGCTTTAGGTTCCCGGTGAATATGTTAGGTTTTAGATGAGTTTGTACATTCACGATCCTTGGTTCCAATCGATTTAATGTGGCTCTGTAGTGTAGTAATCGGGCCACCAGATTCTTGGACCTTTGAACCTTTTTTTGTGGATATTACTTTACCTCACCCACGAGTACATATTCAAGAACTGCAAAATTTTGAGCTACTCGGTGGGGTTTTAAGATCCCTTGTGTCCGTGGATCCCGTCGTTGTTCGCAATGGTGTAATTGAGTTAAGGCGATAAGAGCACTAAAGATCTCGCGAAAAAAAAAGAGAGAGAGAGAGAAAGAAAGAAGCACGTGGATGAATTTTTATTTTTTCGGTTGGATGAGCTACGAGTGAGTGTCTGTGCTAAGCGCAAGGGATTGAACTAAAGATAATTTATTATCTTTCGGTTCTAAATATAAGACTTTTTTTACAGTATAAATTATACTGTAAATTTTTTTTATATTTATGACCGGTATTACTTCTATGAAAAAAAATCCTTTAAAAGATTAGAAGAGTATAATTGCAGGCCTACAGCTACTTTTTCTTGTTTTTTTTTTTGCCATGAGATGCATAGCTCATGAAATGAATTTTCAGATCATATGTTGGAACTTGATTTCCAACAACGCGTGGCTTTAATTCTAAGCATTTGGCCAAAGTGAATGAATAGCATAACACTCCCTCCATTTCAAAGTCTCGTATTTTAAATGGCATCTATTTGTTTTATAGTATCAATAAAAAATTAATTATTTTTAAATTTCATCAATATAAATAATGGTAGGGAGAATTTTTATTTCCATGAAGTTAAACCAGAGTAAGAAGATATGATTAGATTTTTGTACCAAGTGAGCAATTGAATGATTAATAAAAACAGAATTCATTGGGTGGGGTCTCGGCGGATGGTTGTTGGGCTGGACAAGAGAAGGCCCACAAAAAGAGTGGGGGCCGCGTTAACTGGCTCCTCTACAGAGCGAATCAAAAATTCAAAATCGTTGCAGCCTCTGGTTGGGGTTCAGCCGCGGAATTGGAAGGAAGGGCCGTGACGGTGAAAGGAGATGTACGGAAGGCAGTGAGGGATTTTGTATCTTGCATCGTAATAATGCTTTTTACCACTCTAATGATGATTCCTCCCGCTTCCAATTCTTCAGGTCCAAGTCAACCCGTCTGCCTTCATCACCATCATGGAAAGGTACACCCCCCCTCCTTTCTCCTTTTCTTTGTCGCTACTGGGAACTTGGGTTTTCTTTTCTCGTCAAACCCTCCCTTTTCAGGTTTTACAAGCGACGGAATCCTATTCCGTTTTGTCTTCTACCCGATTCTTGCAATCTGATTCCCGAGTTAGAACAATGAACAATTTTGTTAGTTTAGCTGTGACCCGTTTGAATGCATGTACCAGTATGAATACGGTAAAGGGAAGACCAGATTTCTCAACCATCAATTTAGGGATTTTTTTTTATAAAAAAAAACGGAAAAGAACAAGAGCAGTTTGTATTGTGGGGACTTAACGCAACCCCGAATGGAAGCGTACTACGAGAAAGATTCTGATATTCCCGAATGGAAGCGCCTAAAGGTGAATCCATCTTCGAACCCTGTTTTTTTACGCGTGATTACCTGTCTTGGATTCGCATTATTATTGTTTTTTTGTTGGCAAATGGATTCGCATTATATTCTATTTACTGTGCATCTGCAGATCACGGGAACGGTGTGATTGGTAACATCTGCTACGCAAGTAATCAACACCTTATCATCGTATCACGGTTTCCTGTGGTCATAACTTTTTAAAATGATTAAAAGGAAAATTTGCTTTCTAAAATTTTTTGTCCGATGCCTATGCATCATACTAGTTATAGTTAATTTGAGTTAATTAAGAAAATTAATTACATTAGTTATTTGTAATAAATGAGTATTGTTTTTTTTAAAATATTTTTGCTAGTCAAGTATGTTGACTAAAACTACTAAAATGACGTGAATATTTATATATCTGGTTATAGATTTAATTTTTTTTAATTGATATTTTTCAAATGTAGGGTAGGAAGATGACTTTATTTTTTTTAATTTGACGTATTTTTTGTATTCTCATCTTTAAATTTGAGGAAATTTACTTAAAAGAATAACTCATTGTAAAATTTATTGTCGAAATATATAGGGAAAACCATATTGGAGGTACCTATACTTTTTTTCAATTTTCAATTTGGTACCTATGTGTTTTTTGTTCTTAACTAAATCTTTATTTTTCCTCTATTAACATCATTAATCCTTATGTAGAGACTAAAAATATCAATAGAACAAAGTTATAAGAGCTAATGTTGCTAAAAAGATAAAATTAAATGTTTAATTAAAGAGAAAAAAACACATAGGTACCAAATTAAAAATTGAGAGAAAGTATAGGTACCTTCAATATGGTTTTCCCAAATATATATGGGATTATTTAACAATCCGATACAACATCTCTTCGTCAAGTATCTTAGGAAGTTTGAGCTAGTGTGTACACAATTAAAATTAAAAAAGAGTTGCATCCACTAAAGGCATGTTGTGCTTAAATTTTCCCAAAAACAAAAAAAAAAAAAAAAAATTCAGGTATCTTTGACTAATTTTCAGCTATTTTCTTTTTCTAAATTTAAAGATTATTCATTGAAAAAAACATATTTTTAAAGAATAAATCATGAGACCCTTCTTTCTGTTCATAGATCCTTGATTTATAAAAAACTACGCTGAAAAATTAGATATATAAATATTCATGCACAATATGCTAAAATATACTCTTTTTAGTATAATTTAAAATATTTTCAAGTTATTTTGGATTTGAGACTATTTTTTATTGGGTCGGGCGTGTAAAAATTAAAATTTTCCTAATAAATGCGCTTGTCGGATTTAGACTTGTGTTTTTCTCTTTATGGGAATGAGATCGCTTATCATCTTAAAACAATTTATTTATTCTTAAGGCTTTTTTAGTAATTCATTAATTAATTTGCACCTTTTTGTTCATTTAATGAACAATACTTCATGGGGCCGTGGCTTCTACATTTCCTTTTACCCTTTGCAGGCTTTTTTTTTTTTTTTGGTTTAATTTACTGACTTAGTAGTTATATAACGCATCCATATTTCTACGCTCGTACGCTATTTTTTTTTTTAAATACTGTTCTTTTTTCTAGCTAATCAAGCACCAATTTGATGTTGTGCTGTTTACTCTGTTTTATCCTCAACCTAACTGTTCCATCATTAGCTAATTATGAGAGATATTTAAATTTAGTCTTGTGGCGTATGGCAAACTCAAATATTAACCGTTAAGAATGAAAAATATTACAACTTTCAGTTCTAATTATAAGATCTTGTTTATAATCTACAAACAAGGTTTTATAATTAAGACTAAAGGTAATATGAAATAATGCAACTATTAATGCCTAAAGTGGATTCTCTTGGGGGGCCGCACGGTTATGAGAGCGTTTCATTTATTGCCAAAATTCCCTTGGTTTCAATATTGGTAGCTGCTTCATGGTAAAAAATGAAAAAATTATTGGTAAGTGCTTCTTACCGTTGTCAAGAACATTCCAAATTATTTCTTCATTTTTTGCCATGGTATTACAAAGTGTTTGTATAATTCTCTTCATCATCTTTACAGACAGACATTTGTCAAACATGTGGTGATAAAGGAGATTCGAACCGGCTCATATACTGTGTACAGTGTCGAGTTTCTGCTGAGCACAGGTACATCGCGGGGCAAAAATTTTAGAGGTTGTCTTCTTGCTAAGTTTGCGGTCTGAAAATGTTCTCATTGCTATTGCTCTTCTAAAGTCCATGTCTTTATCAAAGACGAAGACCTAGATCAATGCCAACAATTTATGCTTGATTAGACCATGATATACATCATTATTGCCTGTTTCTGCTAACCGAGAAAAACTGGGGCTTCAGATATAGAGAGCACTTTTGTTGGCTATGTAATCTTGTTATTTGTGAAATATATGTAGCTTTTGACATATCTACTTGTATATATGCGTAGTTATTGTGCAGGGAATTTTCATAGAGAACATGATGAAACGATCAGATGGAAATGTGAGGAATGCTCTCTAAATGATGCCAAATGTAGACCGACGCCATTGAGGAGAAGTGCACGCATAAGTGAAGCCGCTGAATCTAAATATAACAGGGTGAAAATTGAAAGGGAGAACCATGAGGCACTCAAGAACCATGAAGAAGCCTATTTCGACCAGTCATGTAAGGCAGAATCTTCTGATGAAAGTCAAGATTTACCGATTAAGAAGAGAAGGCGCTTGGACTTTAAAGAAGAGAACTTCATCGACGAGGAGTGTGAAGTGCATATGAGTCCTTCAAAGTCTCCCTCGGATCAGCCAAAATTAGAGTCTGACGTATATGTTGACACTAGAGCTGTGAACATTGAAACTGTTGACGAACCTTATCCAGAAAGTAGCAACTATAGCCCGGCCGAACCGATTTGTTCTCCAGCTTGGAGGTATGGTTTTGTTCTCCATTTTCTAAGTCCGCGATTTAACTGGTTAGCGTAGGTTTGATAGAATTTCACGGAATTTAATTGGTCTTAAATTTTCATCATTTGGAAATCCCTTGTTTTGAAAATCAGTCACTGTGGAGGTGTCTGCACATGTTTGAATCAAATCTATATAATTGCATCACTGGTTGGGACTGTCGCTTGTCTGGTTGACAGTGTTCTTTCTGAGTCATGTTTAACTTTAGACCATGTTTGGCTTGGGGTTGGGTGAAGGCTGATCATGGTCTAATCGGAATCAAGCTTTGGATTTGTTCTTAAGGAAAGAGTTTATGGTGAGACTTGGGTTTAGTGTTTTCGTTCTAATCCAATATATTGATTGGGCTGATAGCGGCTGGGCTTACTTCAACTCTGGTCCATTATCATGTCGGATCTGGAGGGTTGGTCTATTTTGAAATCCAACCAGAAAAGCGAAAGTATTCAAAAACCTTTCCTTTTGAACTTAACGGCCTGATGTTCATCATGTGGCATTAACAGTCCAAAACACAATGTTTTTTTCTTTTTCAGTTTTTTAAACGGCAAAGCACAAATAAAGATACAGTGATGCAAAATATTTTTAAGCATTCTTTATAATTACTTTCTCTCCTTAAATTCTTTTGCTCACGATGATTTTTTCTGAAAGGGTCATTTTCGCGCACCATTAGGAAAATTCGTAAACAAAAGCCATGTTTGTTTTTGTTTACTGCGAACAGGGGGCAATTGAGAATCAACAAGGCGATTCTGCTGGGCGTTGGGGCTCACTTATCAACCATAGCCTGCCCTAAAGTGCATAGTGCTGTGAGCGGTCTGCCCCCAGTGGTTGACGTAAAGTTGCTATCAAGGTCTGACGTATGGCCGCCGAGTTTTCAGAGGTCACCGCCTACTAACCATAGCATTGGTCTTTATATTTTTCCACAATGTGAAAGGTGCGTCTTCTCATTGATTTCCCGCGCACTAGTGCTTTGATTTCCCCACTATGTGCTTAAAATTCCTGATATGAGCAGTGTGGTTGATCAGTGATGAGAAGCTGTTTGATGGGATGATGAGGGATGTGATGGAGCGAAATCTGGCTCTCAGAGCAATCATCTCAGACAACGTGGAGCTCCTCATATTTTCTTCCCGATTATTTCCCACACAAGATTGCCGTAAGCTGACTAGTTGCAGATCATAGATACGATAACACGTACACGTACAAGTGCTTGTGTATTTTGTTTGGGGCACAAGGCTAACGAATTGAATTTTGCATTGCAGGAATGTGCGGAAAATATTACTTATGGGGCGTTTTCAGGCAAAAGGGAAGCACTTTGGGAATTGAACTGGTGATGGGGTCAGAGTGAAGTTAAGTGGGTATTAAGGGCCTGTTTGAAATAGTTTATAAATAGTTTTTCAATCGTGATTTACATAATACAAGATAAATTTGTGAAAAAAATTTTATCTTGATTTATTTGAAACGTATTTATAAATGATTTTTACTGTTGTTCCAAACAGAGCCTAAATGTGTTGAATGAGGACGACATCCGCTGCAACAAGTGATCCCCACATTATGATTATAAGTAGAATCTTTTCCCTGGAGAGGTTGTTACTTAGCTTCCTCGTTATATCATATGAGCTGGGCGCAGTCTAGTCGATGACGTGGTTGGACGTGGAGAGAAGGTCGTCGTTGCCATTGGTGGTGCCCATCCCCACAGCAACCATTGGATTCCCTCATAGACACACACATGCCTTTCAAGTATTTATTACACCAGCTTTAGAAATTATATAAAATATCATTAACAGCACCCTCTCCATGATTTTCAACTGCTAATAAGACGGTACGGAGCGAATAAGGAAGACCTGGAAAGTGTCTCGTCCAGATTTATTTCACCCATTACAGTCTTGAAAGGAAGTCAGCATGAAATCATAAAAACCACCCACAGAAGCTATAAGTTTTAGGTTGGTTCGCTTCTATGTTCAACTCTCCTTTGCCCCTCGTCAGGGAAATGGTTTCTGAAACCACCACTCTCTCAAACCACTCTTCTCAGTTCTCGCGCATATAGCCGGCATCGCCTCTTACTTTGACGGTTTGACCCACGAATTCTAATCTCCACTTGGTCTTGAACCGGCCCAGGTTGCTTCCTAGAAGCACTACAATTACAACAACTTCCACGAACGAGCCAACCTACAACCCCTCGTTAATCATTATTACCAGACACCGTTGGAATTTATTTATTTTTTTTTAAAAAAGAGGACTATCACCAAAAGGAAAAGTGCAATAAAATACCATCCAAGAAAATTAAATACAAAAAATTTCATTAAAATCATCAAATTATTTTGAAGTTGTAAAGAATCTTATTGTAAAAAATTTTATTTATTTAATTATTAAATTGTCTTTATTTTTTTAAAGTTTGTATTGATAACTGAAAGAGCAATCGTTAACAACTCAAGGTGTAAGGATTAACAATTATCTCAACAGGTATTGACAACACACTTTCTTAGCATATCACACAATATAATGCATGAGTTATCAATATTTGCCTCGATAGTTATTAATCCTTACACCTGTTAACGCTATTTCAGTTATCAATACAAACTTAAAAAAAAAACAATTTGATAATTAAACAAATGAATTCTCTTGCAATGAAACCCTTTGAAATTTTAGAATAATTTGATGATTTTAAGGGATTTTTTTGTATTTAATTCTTTTGAGTAGGCTGTTGTGGCAATTTTCCCATTATCAAACGCCACCCCTCCCTGTTTGTGTTGACTTTTATGCCAATTTTTTTTCCCAATATGCTTGATGATTTTCTATTTTCTTAGGAAAACATTACTACCATTAACACCAACATCACTTAAGATTTCTTATGCAAACAATGGATATGTATTCAACATGCTCATGGGGCAATGCTCATCACAGGGGCTTCGCTTTTGCCTTTTTTGGAAAAAATGGCGGTTTTCTGCTTTTAACCTCCGAAATTGAAACAGAATCAGTACATTCAACATCCCATACTAACAGAAAAAGGAAAAATGGACAATCTGGAGAAATAAAAACTGAAATGTATTTAATACTTCCTTAATTATGAATCACAAATTACAAAGTTACAAAAATAACTAAAATTACAGAGGAAGAGATCAATAGAATCCACAAACTCAAAAAGTCAGTAATAACTAAACAGTATCAGTAATAACTGTGGACCTAAGAACCCAGCGCTGACAAGAGTCAGTCAATGTTAAATCCTCTGGCAGCTTCTTTGCTGCCTGTCATGCAATTCCAAATCTTTGATAACCAAATTTATTTACCCCAAAAATTTGATTGAAAAAAGAAAGGACAGCTCAGTCGAAGATACGGAAGACGTCCGGCGACGGAAGCGGAGAAGCTATAGATGTCGAAAATAAACCCGATGGGCTTCCCGTGAAGCTGTTCGCTGGCCAAAACGGGCTCAAGTCGTGCAACCACGAGAGCGTTTCTGGATCAGTCGCTGGTGAGAATATCTCCGACGATATCCCCGGCATACTTCCCGGTGCAGGCGATAATATGCCGTGGAACTGGCTCACTTCAACTCCCTCCAATAGATCATCCATCATCTCGTCTCCATTCTGAAACCTTTCTTTCTCGGACGGGCTTGTCTTTTCGATTGACGCTAGCCTTGCTGCGGGTGAAACATCTCCGGATCTGGAGGAAGGGGATGATGGGCCTGTGAGACGTTGCACGACCTTCATGAAGTCGTCGACCGGAACGTGAATAACCTTGGGAGACACCGAATAGATAATCACCGGCTGCGGCTGCGGCTGCTGCTGCTGGTGGCGGGAAGGCCCCGCCGCCGGGTGATGGGGGTGCGGTGGAAGAGGCGGCTTTCGGATCTTGTGCGATTCTTTGCTGACGCTGAGCGGAGAGGGACGAGGGCCTTGGAGTTGGAGCTCTCTTCTGGACGGGGGAGGTGGGCTATCGCCGGTGGGATACCCCGGCGGATTCATGATGAATGGTGGAGATCAGGGAGGAATCTAAAAGGGTAGGTATCATGTTTTATTTATTTTTGCCACCAAGGAAATTTATAGTTATTAAAGTCCATTTATTGACTTTTCAGAGGGTTTGTTGACTAAAACACACGCCCTTGCAAAGACTTCTCCCATTTTGAAATGTTGCATCCTTTTTCTTTTTCTTTTTTTTGAAAAAAAATAACAAGACACTCCCTCATATCCCAAATATATAAATTTTCTAATCAATTTGTAGTATTAAAAAACTAATCAAAATAATTATTTGAGATTAATATATAAAAAATTTGTAACACTTTTTATTGGGAAACACTTTTTCAAAGATATCCATGTCATTTAATAGTTAACGTATTAGTTGCAGAGATAACAATATCGCAATAAATATAAATATTATCTATTAATTAAAAGAAATAATTAATACAGGAAACAAGAGAAAATTTGACAAGATAATATATAGACACACGGTTTGAAGATATGGTAGTAGTTTGCGGGTCAAAATATTTTATAAGGCAATTCAATTCATTGGCCAAGTATTCATTTTATGCAGAGCGTGTTTCCGGCACAGTAACATTGAAAACTTGCAATTCTTTCAAAATGAATATCACTGAAATGTGAAAATTATGATTGTTGTCTGTTCTTTTACACCAAAGTAAAAGCGATCAAAGCTACTCGTAGTGGTAGGGGATGTGCTTTGAATAAATGGATACGATATTTGATTGATTTGTATGAAATCTTCAACATCATATTCTGAACAAAGGAACAGTCTCTTCTCTTAATGCCCATTGCACATAACAAAACAGTTTGCCAATCTGGGAAACACAAGACAAGAGCTGTCATTGTATCTGTCACAAGCTGGAGATTTTTAGAAAGGTGAAGGACGCCAGTTAACACTTAACCGAGGGAATCTGCCAAACAACGGCTTCTTACAGGTCCAGATGATCATTCTCCTTATCCAATGCTTGAACTGGTGTGCTCTTGGACTTTTATTTACAAGTCTGTCAGCCCAACACAGACAGTTGGATTCAATTAAACATGCCCTTAATGGTATTCTATAAACTTGGGCTGGCATGAGTTAAGTGGATGGTAGGCCCAAAATGGATGGATGAAGAAGGAAGAACAAGCCTGTGGATACTCGTTTTATTACTTTTTGTTTGTTAGTCAGGGTTCCTTAAATGTTTAGTTAGGAGTTCGATCCTTAACACACACACACACACACAAAGAGGATCTTGTGGCTAACGTTAAAATCCCTTCGGAAAATCTACTATGTTAAGGAATCAGTTACTGCTATTAACAGTGGATACATAATAATTAATAAATGTATGAAACAACAATTCCCAACTTGAACTAAACAAGACTTTGTTGAGGCTTTGTTTATGCAGCAAAGGAAAGAACTGAAACTGATGCCCTCCCCCTGCTTCTGCATTCTTCTTTAACAGATGCAGCAGGTCTCACCAAACACAAGATCGTAAGGCTGATTTCAACAAATTTATTAGATTCTTTCGTACTCTGCTTTCAATGTTTCTGCTCGCTTTAGCTTCACCTCATGAGTTGCATGTCTGTTCTTCAGTGAATCAAGTGCAGCTTTTGAATCTCCCTTGTCATCTCGACTTAATAGCTAAGATTTACTCCAAGTTCAGGCATCAAATTAGTGAATTTTTGCCATCGTAATATATTTGGGCGTGTATATATTGGGAAACTTTATTAATGAGCAACGTCGCAAACCACACTACTCATCTTATTATGTGATACACGACGCTTAATTTTGAACACACAGGCTTCTAGATAGTTGGTGATCCCTTTTTGTGGCCTTTTAATGGTCATCGCAAGTCGCAACTTAACAAGATAGGAATATTCGACACAATATGCCTTTAAGAAAATCTGCTGCTTTTAAGTTTAACCTTTTAAGTCCCGAACACTTTTACCATGTACACGTCAGAAATCAGAATGCTTTATCCTATCATGGCCTCATTTGTCATGACTCAAGTTATAGCTGTGATTTTCCACCGCCACTCCCACAATTTCCTTCCTTTTCGTGTATAAAGTCATAAAGACGCATCTCTCGACAAGTCTCGCTATTCTCAATCCTATTTCTTCCCCCAAGACCCATTCCATCATTCTTTCTCTCCGCTCTCTGCCTGACCGTGGAGGACAGAGACATGGGCAGCTTAGAAGACGACCAGCTGGTTCAGATGGTCCGAGACTTCATCGAATCTGAGTCACCATCCCCCACAAATTCTACTTCATCAAAGTGCCGTGCCTTAACCCATCGAACCCAATGTTTTATGCTACAGGTACTTCACGAATCACAAGGAGTTCAAAGCTTCTTGCTGAGTTTTCCTCCATGTTGTTCAGCGTATACAATATACTTGTCTTTGATATGCTATCTGTTAATGTTGTGGTTGATATCGATCGCTGCAATGGAATTTAGGATATCTTAAGGAGCGAGACGAGAGCTGAGGCAAAAGTTCGGAATTATGTGCTGAACTTGAAGCGTATGAGAGGCAGAAGCGATGCTAAGAACCCTTCACGTCTGAGGAAGTGGCTGGTCCTGAGGATGAAAATGGATGGCCTCGATGCTTCTCTGTGCCACACATGTTGGGCCACCTCTTTAGGATGTCCAGCTGGTGGGTCTCTCTCTCTCTCTCACCATCTCCTTAAATTAACCTATTCGTTGGATTCCCTGATTCCGAAAGATCAAAATTTTCTTAACTTGTTCTCTGGATTATGTTGTCAGGTGAATATGAATATGTTGAAGTGAATATTACAGAAGGTGAGAATGGAAGTCCTGAGAGGGTCATAGTGGACATAGACTTCAGGTCCCAGTTTGAACTTGCCAGGCCAACACAATACTACAGAGAAATGACAGAGTCACTCCCAGTGATCTTCGTGGGGACGGAGAACAAGCTGAGCAGGATAATCTCTCTGCTCTGTTCTGCTGCTAAACAGTCCTTAAGAGAGAAGGGCCTGCATGTGCCACCATGGAGAACCACTTCTTACATGCAATCCAAATGGTTTTCTGGGCGTCATCATGAAGAGCCTTGCCCACAAGAACAAGGTGTTGGTACTGGAGAGCGCTATGGGGGAGTGAGAGAAGCAGAAGGTGAAGATGAAATTGGCGAGTGGGTACCTCCGATAGTGAAACCCAGGAAAAGAGACTTGGGTGGCGGGTCTGGCTTATCTAAACAGTTCTCTGACTTGACTATAAATTGTTGCTAGCTCTGGCTCAGTTTTGATAGGGTTTGTAATTTTCATTCTTGAAATCAAGCCGTGATCATTTTATAAGTAATAATTTTGAGTTGTCATTCATAATCAGGAGCTAGCCATGATTTTTGCCTTTTTTTGTTTTTTTGGTTTTTTTGACACCAGACCATGTATGGACTTGCTATTTTTAAGCCAGACTGGACTATAATTTGGTTTGAGTTGGAGAGAACTAAGGTAGGGAAAGCTTTTCTAAGAAGCTTTGCAGTTGCATTGCATGTCTTACAAACATAAGAATTGATTAAGCTCACACGATCTTCTATTATCTGCTCTCGTTATCTCATCAGACCAGCGGTGGAAATTTGATATCTCTAGATATATTTTTCGAAGGGTTGCGCAAGCTATGAGTTTGTGCTGCTCATAATTTATAGAATGGTGCAATTTATTATAAGTTCCTTGTATCATAAACATAAAATTTAGTTAATTAAATTAGTTATTTATTATTATTACATAAAAATGTGTGTTACTTTCTGATAAGTTAACTTACTAGAAAATTCATAATTCAGAATTGATTGCTTATTTCATTTTTTTTAAAATACATAATAATATTAGAGAAGCGGAATTTACTTAGGTTTTCTTTAGCAAGCCGCTTCCCTAATTGTGAGCAAAATGTGAGGCTTAGCTTTTGGGAAGTTAAGGCTTTTAGTAAACTAAACAAGAAGAATTTAACTACTTCTCAAGAAAAAAAAGTTTAATTTCCCCTTTCTATTTACCCCAGCCAAGCCACCCTTTAGGATAAACGAATCATATTAATATGTTTGTTCTTATCTTCCATGTTTGGCTGTTTTTGTTGAGCTCTAATCAAACAATCAAGGTAATTGTTATTCTTTTCCCTTTATGCCATGCTTTAGAAGCGACACTAGATGAATTTGGTGTAGGCGATGCTTGTACACAAAAAAAAACTTTTCCCCTTGAACGTTTTGAATCCAAAACTCGACATTAATGGGAAACCCCTATTCCTTGCACAACAATTTTATCGAGGGGAGTTAACAAACTTAAAGGAGTTTCAACTATGAAAATGGGTTACCCCAAATGAGGGAGGACAGTTGATAGCTCAAAGCACCTCGTACTCTGTCCTCCATATTCATCTCCTAAAATCATTAATCGGTCCAAGTGTTCGGTGTCCTTCTATGTTGGCATTGAATTCAAATAAAGAGATTATACACACGAATTTCAGAGGATACATTCTCTCAAGGACATCATTGAACTAGGAAACCAAAGACAGGAATGCAAGAACTGGTTCTACATTCATACTCTGTGCTGCTATGTGTCCAACGCGGTGGGCCTCCTTCTCAGCATCTCGGTGCTTCTGGCAACGCCATCTACTGTGTGCTGACAAAGCCTCACTGCTCCGTGTTTTCTGTTTCATATATCACAATTTACTGTTTAAGATTTTATGAGCCACAATAAAGCAAAGAAAGGGACAATTAACCTCTGTCATTATTACTCTTTACAACTTCCATAGTGCCAGTTCCTATCAAAATATAATACTCCTCCGGTCCTTAATATAAGACCCATTTAACTAATTTGATTAGATTAAGGAAGTTAGGTAAATTAGTTAATTATAAGAAATATGACACGTTTTTCCTAAAATACCATAATCATATTTCTTAATACCACATCTTCCTCTTCTACTTGATTATGGTTGAAGAAGTATCCATAGGGATAATTTAGAGAAAATTGATAAATATGAGAAATGGGTCTCATATTTAGGACCAAAACCAACTCACCACTTGGGTCCTATATTAAGGACCCGAGGAGTATATGAATTTTGTTAAACGCCTCAATAATTGAAGGCTGGAGTTACAAGTATAACAATCTTGTCTTCTTATTTTCTAGTAATTTTGAGCTCTGCACGTAAATTTTATCCATCTGATTGTCATCCAAAAGTGACGTGAAGGGATATGGATAAAGACAGGAGGGAGGATAAGGAAAAGAACAAGAAATAGATATAGAAATGGGAAAGAGTTAGTATCAAAGAAAACTGGTGGCAATGGGATAAAACAAGTGGCATAAGAAACCATGGGTGAGAGTGAGACTGAGACATGTCACTTTCTTTCTTTCCCCAAATCAAAACCTCCCCCAATTATCAAAATGGTCCATCCTCTACCACCTTTCCCTCTCTGCTTTTATCATTTCATGGCCACCTCGTCCTGTTTTACGTGTGTGCTATATCTGAATTCAGACAGATAAGATAGCAACCTCGTCACCCCTGTCTTCTGTCTACCCACTAGTGCCCTTTCATTATTTCCATCAAGAAAATATAATACTACCCCGTTTGCTAGTTGCTACCTTTTTATTGTCCCCCCCCCCCCGGGGGGTAAATTCGACATATTTCCATGTCGTTTATGCCGCCCAACCATAAGACCCAAAGAATGACGCTGGATTATGCTGAGCCCGACCCAACATCATGATGGGCCCAAAACGAGGCCCAATACAATGGGAGACGCGAGTCTTCGGACTCGCTGTTCCGATCGACTGACAACACCTGTTGCCAAGGTGCCTTTTTTATTTTCTTTAGTTCGAGTTTCTTTTACGGTTTCATTCTCTCAGACTTTGTGTTAATGCATGTATCCGTCTGATTTGATGTTACACGACTGCCATAAAAAAAAAAAGCTTGTCTTTGAGTCCCCCCCCCTTATGATCGTAACATGTTTCGCAAAATCCGAAGCATTTGAAAATTGAAAGTAGGTCGGTACTCAGTATGCTATTAAATTCGATGGCTTTTATCCTAGATTATAAGAAAAGGACTATGATTCAAAAGTATTGAGATTGCTTAGCCGTGTTTTATTCATTTCTTTATCGGGTAAGCTGTGGAGCCGATGAATCATTTCACTTCTTTTGACCAGACCCGCTCCGCTTAGATATTTGTAATTTTGTACTTGTATCGTAGTTGTGGAAGAAAGAAATATGAAGACTTGCGGATGATGTGGTCCAGCCTGGACTGAGGGACCTAGTTCATTGTTCATGCAAGATGCAGCTTATGCGTCCCATTTCCTATTTGAAATTATAAGATCCTACTTTTGTATTCGTTCTTCTCCTGGGTGACGACGATGGAAATTGCTAAGCGATTAATTCAATAACAAAGATGCCCAGTATTTTGGTTCCTATTTTCCTCTGCTTTCCCTGATTTGTACGCTCATGGTTCCTTAAAGGTACGTGTCATAGATTCTGTAATTCATTCTATGTATCAAATTGAATTAATTTCTATAATGAGTTAGACTATTATGCCACGATGAGCCTGCTTAGAAATTAACATTGAGTAGCTTCCTTTGATCTGTGTTTAAAATATAAATATCATTTCTATGGAACTATTTATCTATATATACTTTATGACAGGTTCATTGACCCATAAATCGAGCGTCGGCACGTCAAAGCCTCCTCAACCACCACAGAGAGCTCCCCTCGATCCGTGGACTAGATTACGTCTCATCAGGCGGTTTGTTCCTCGTAAGAAACAAAAATCTGAATCTGGTTTGTGATGGCTGTTGATGTAATTGATTCTGCGTGTTACCGTTCAAATCAGCTTTTTGGTCTGCATAAATCTAGTTAGTGTCAGCCTCTTATTTTTCTGAGGAAAGTGTTCCTACCTATGTGTGAACTAAACGAAATCGTGAACGAGAAGGGAAAAGAAAAATCCGCAACTACTTCCTTAATTATCTCCCCAGGTGCAATTTCTCATTTAAGGTTTGCATGTCAAAAGATCATCATCATGATTGAACAGACATTTAAGAAAGCTTCTCGTTTGAGAGAAACCCGGCGCCAAATTATGTTACCTTTGCACTTTGCCCGTTCGTCTGGTGTGAGGAGCAATCATCAGCATTGTAGCTGTTTGATGTTAAAACATTAAATCTCAGCCTATTTACTGTCATTATTTAACAGGGAGTGGCCAACCAAGTGAACCAACTTGTGTCGGAAGGCCACCTTTCTTGCTCCAGTCATGCTTTCTTGCGCATGCTTCATTGTGGGACAATATAATAACACCACCTTTTTTTTATTTTATTTTATTAGTTTGGGTAGTTTTTACTTCTCCGTAAGGGATATGCTTGAAAGTTGGAAGTGGACCAAGTGGTCCTTCCACTGACTCTCCGAGGAAAAAAGGAGTTTACCCAGCACTTAAAAAAGTAATCTGCCTCATCTCTCTCTTAAGCTATATATAAGCCCATAAGTATTACACGGTACAGTGTATGTGGCTCATTATCAACGAATAAAACACTGTATTCAGTCTCAGAACGAATAACCTATATATATTATTAGGGCATTCTCATGCATGGTCTGTATGGAGTAGCATGGAATACGTAGCGATGGGTACAAGTCTGTTCGGTTATAATACAACCCACCTCTTCTACCTTTGACTAAGTGTCTAGACTCTAAATACGTTATTGTATTTTTAGTCATAGTTTCAAGATTTTGATGATTCGTTGCATATGAGTAATAACTATGGAAATAGCCCCAACCCAACCATAAAATGGGTTTTCAAACATTTTCGCTAGTCTTTCTTTTTTTAAAAAAAAAAAACAAAGGAAATGCTTTTAGATCTCAACATCTATTCCCCTTACTACATATATAATTCTTCACTTCAATGAAAAGAGTAGAGCCAAGGTATAAAGCAGAGATGTTTGAATGTTAGAGGGGAACAGGAGTGGTCAGATGTTGCAAGGTTCATTTGCCGATTCATAAGCAATCTTGTTCTTTTGATGTCGATTAATTGACCTTGTTGTAGTATTGACGGTATCTGATGGGGATAAAACAATGGAGTTAGGTGAAATAGTTGATAACATGACACTTAAACTAATATCTTCAATTCAAAGATGGTTAATTAATACTTATGCTATAAGAATGAAAAGCATAATAAAATACTGAAACCTTATGAATGAATTGTCTTTGTTAGCTATTTGTTTGCTGATGTTGTCACAGCTAGCATTCCTTCAAATGAAGATGAACTTCCTTCGCAACACTCAAAAAAGAAAGCATTTGCAAAGATATATGGGAGTCTGGCCACTATGGAAATGAAATTTAAGAAAAGAGAATGAGAGAGATGTTCAAACTCAAAACATGGAACTCAGCAAAACCAAACAAGTAAATTTTTTTTTGGGATAATATGATGCCTAAGCTAATAAAGCGTTGACAATAATTTTACTCGTTTAAGGCTTCTAGCTATCAGGTCTGAAAAAAAGAATAGCTATGAGATTTCACGCCAAATTTGACATTGAAAGAGAAAATTGGTCAGCTTCGTAGTTTATTCTAAATAATAAAGAACATTTTTCTTAAAAGAACTTTGGCTTTTCATGAACCAAATGTTCAGACACTCTTTTCCATGAATTTAAAATCAATTTAACTATTATATTAAAGTTTACCTTCCCCCTTTTTCTTACAAAAGTTTACTTCTTTAATAAACGATGAATCCATAGGATAGTGTGATATATATATATATATATATATATATATATATAAATGTTGGGATACTTTTGCCAAATTTTATGATATTAGCATGACCAGGGCACTTTCTTTTCTTACTTTCGAATAAATTGTAAAATCTATCTTAAGCTATCTGTACCAAGTATCTCACCCGGGAAAAAAAAAAAAAGAGGAAAAGGACAGATAAATCAAAATAGGAATACATAGTTAATCTCAACTTCTGTTTTTCGGCATGGAAAGGGCAAAATGTAAACAAGGTATATAATCCTTAAGTGACCAAACAAATTTTTGGTGAAAATTTCCGATGATCTCTACGTAATTCCACAGCCATTCAAACGAAACAAAGCTGATGTATTGCACGTTTTCCTTCTTTCTTTTTTTTGTTTGTTTTTGCCAACGTATTGCATGTTTTCCTTATGACTCGAGTGGTCAGATGAAAATCTTTAGTTCATTTAAGTGCTATCATCCTTTGTGACTTAGGAGTACAAAGTAGGATGGTTTTCACCTTTCACCCCTCCTTTTTTTTCCTGGGGGAGGAGGGGTGTGTTCTTCAAATTGATGAATCGTAAAATAAAAGGAGTACAGAAAAAAGAAAAATGAGGAATAAGAATGAAATTAAGAGATGAGGCAGGGTTGGTGAGCCAAGGCAAGAATGAAAGAGAAAGCAGAGATATTCTGAAAGACGTTACTCAGTTGATGTGTCCATTTTGACTCAAACTCCTCAACTATGCCATCAACAGTCCCTTTCCCATCTCTCTCTTCTTCACATATTAAAGCTTCGATGCTTGTCTGATTCTCCAGATTTTCCTGCTACTCTTTCTACATTGTAATACTAGCTTTTACTTGATTTCTGGATTTCAGAATTCCACCAGCTTCTGGCCATTTGAGCATTGCAGTAGTTGAATCCCGGTACTATATATTCTTGTTTTCCTACTTCGTGGACTTTCAGTTTTCATATCCATAGTTTGAAAACTAATTGGATATGGTCTCTCGGAATTTTGATTGCTTTTGAACCGTTGCTTTGAACAATGTTCTTTATTGCGATAGATTTTTAATGCCTCATAGTTACAACAGTTGATTTTTGTTTGTGTAGACCAGATGTTGATATGAGAGGTGCAATAATGGGTGCTTCTCCTCATGCCGTTGAAGCTAGACACCGCTTGTCTACTTCCGTGTCAGTTCCTTAATCTCTCCACATTCTGCTTAACGTTTCTTGTCTGTTAGTATCATGAAAATAACTTGAAAGTAACTGCATCCACGTTAGGACCATAGTCTCTCTACATTCTTCCTTTCTCTCCACATCTCCACATTCATAAACATCGTGCTTGGTTTATTCAGAGACTTCGCCAAAGCTTACTAGCAGCGAATGTAATAGTATGTTATAGGCACTACCCTCTATGTTAGTTCCCAGCCGTTTATGTTTGTGTTTTACCCTATAGGCCTAGAATCCATCTTTTTTATATTACATTAATTGCAGTGCGGGGTTATAATGCAAGCTTTCTGTTTACTCAACTGGTGAAGATGGAAGAAATACTGTTCCCAGATTTGGCTTTATGGGATTCCTAGTATTTTTTAGTGCTGTCCTGTCCTTCTCAGCACAAAGAGGTAGATTCAGAGAGTTAACTTTTAGTGCGATCCGTACTATTCTGCAGAGCTTCACTGCAAGATGAAGACCTTTTATCTTAAAAATATTTGTTATTTAAACTCAAAGGAAGCCAATCAGCAAGCAGTCTTTATATCAGCCTCAACTCTCAACTCTCAACTCTCAACTATCAACTCTCAATCATTCTTTAATATGGCAAAAATATACTAATTATGTATCCTTTTTCCACGTCACCAGTGCCTTGTTATTTATGGGCAATATCTCGTCACAAGTATACGTATATAAATTAATTAGTTGTTGAATTTCTACGTGGCAGTGAAGACTTGTACAAACGAAGATTGCCAAGAAGTAAACTCAGAGATGACCTGGAGAAGCCATTACACTTGCACATCCAAGATAGGAGCCCAAGATGCAAGTTCTCTTTCTTGAAACTCATCCTAGTATTAATCATTTGTGGCACTTCTGTAACGCTCATCTACGCTCCTGAGGCTTATAATGCCAACAACTTAGCCAGCTCTAGCTCTCGGTATGATCATCCACGTACCCCCTAAAAGTCTATATATACACATACATACATATATACTACTCCTCCGATCTTAAATATAAGACCCATTTTGTAGTGTAATTTGCATGAACGAAAACATTTGTAGTCGGTACCAACATGGATGTACCAATTCATGTCTCTGGTGGATGATTCACAGTGCTCCATTTATATTAAACTGTGATCCAAGAATAGATGGTGCAGTAAAAGTTTCCTATCAAAAGATGCTTTTACTTGAATTGGCATCGTTCTATATATCTTTCGGCTTTTGTCAGAAATGATAATAGCACATGCCAAATTTTTTGACCAGGTGGATATGGGGTGGTTCCGATTCTCGGTACATTTCAAATCTGGACGTCGATTGGGATAACACATTGAAAATCACTGGGAAGTTGATTAAGAAAGATGAATTCCAAGGGATTGGCCTTCTTAATTTCAATAAGAGTGAACAAGGCCACTGGGAGAAGCAATTTCCTGATGCCACCCACCATGCTTTGCACCTGGACTATGCTGCAAGAAACTTGACATGGGAGTCCCTTTACCCAGAATGGATTGATGAGGAAGAAGAGGAGCAAGTTCCAGTTTGCCCGTCTCTACCACGCCTTCGATCTCCCAGAACAAGGCTTAATCTTATAGCTGTGAAGCTTCCTTGTAGAAATGGTGGGAATTGGTCTAGAGATGTTGCCAGGCTACATCTACAGCTGGCAGCCGCTGGTCTTGCAGCCTCTTTCAAAGGCAATTACTCTGTATATGTCCTTTTCATTACCAATTGCTTTCCAATTCCAAATCTTTTTACCTGCAAAGAACTTGTTGGACATGAAGGGAACGCTTGGTTATACAGACCAAACCTAAGTGTTCTAAGACAAAAAGTCCAGATTCCTGTAGGATCCTGTGAACTTGCACTTCCTATGAGAGGCAAAGGTAATTTCTAGCCACACTTACTCGAGACATAGACTGCATCATGGTGTCCCGTGGACACAATAGCTTCACATAGGCTTTGACAAAGGACACAGGACTACTCATGAACCTGCCTTCAGTAACATCTTTTGTTTCATAATCATTGATTTCTTTACCATGCTTTCGCATTGCACGTGATACCATTAAAAATTCATCTATAATAGTTGAAGAGTAAAAAGGCCAATTAAGAGGGGCTGTTTAAACTACAGTTTTTTATGGGAAAAAATGCTTTATCCTGCTTACACATTGCACTGAAAAATTTTCTAGTAACCAAATTGATAATGAAAAGACAAGTCAGAAACTTATTTTCCTGTAATTGATTTAGCTTATTTATCTTTGTTATATCAAGTTGAGTTAAGAATCTCTGTTTTTTATCAAAAAGCTGATATGAATTTAACTAAATTGAACTGGAAAGCAGAGCTGGTTTACACGGGGAATGTTCACAGAGAAGCTTATGCAACAATTCTTCACTCAGCCCATGTTTACGTGTGTGGAGCTATTGCTGCTGCACAAAGCATCCGCATGTCGGGATCAGCTCGAGATCTCGTCATCCTGGTGGACGAGACAATTAGCGGCTATCACAGAAGTGGCTTGGAAGCTGCAGGGTGGAAAGTAAGAACAATCCAGCGGATCAGAAACCCAAAAGCTGAAAAAGATGCATACAATGAATGGAACTACAGCAAGTTCAGATTATGGCAGCTCACAGATTACGACAAGATCATATTCATCGATGCAGATTTGCTTATTCTGAGAAACCTAGATTTCTTATTTGGCATGCCAGAAATTACAGCCACCGGAAACAACGCCACATTCTTTAACTCAGGCGTCATGTTGATTGAGCCATCAAACTGCACATTCCAACTTCTCATGGATCATATCAACGAGATTGAGTCCTACAACGGCGGTGACCAAGGATATTTGAATGAAATATTCACGTGGTGGCATCGAATCCCAAGACACATGAACTTCTTGAAGCACTTTTGGGTTGGTGATGAGGAAGAAAAGAAGCAAATGAAAACCAGACTGTTTGGTGCAGAGCCTCCAATCCTCTATGTGCTTCACTATTTAGGTGTGAAGCCATGGTTGTGCTTTCGTGACTATGACTGTAACTGGAACGTTGATATATTTCACGAGTTTGCGAGTGATGTGGCTCACAAGAGATGGTGGGAGGTACACGACGCGATGCCTGAGGTTTTGCAGCAGTTTTGCATGTTGAAATCGAAGCAGAAGGCACAGTTGGAGTGGGATCGAAGGCAAGCTGAGATAGCAAATTACACAGATGGGCATTGGATAATTAAGGTGAAAGATGGACGCTTGGAGAAATGTATAGATAATCTGTGCTCTTGGAGAAGCATGTTGCGACATTGGGGAGAGAGCAATTGGACCGACGATGAATCTTATACTCCAACCCCACCTGCCATCACCACACTGCCTCTTACTGCTTTATGATTTGTGAGTTTCAAGTTTTTCGGTTTGTTCTCATTGTCCGATCCCCGAGTGTTAGGAAATTAGGATGAGGGATACCATTTCCGCCTTGGTTGTTTCAGTCTTTTAGAGGACTTTCTCAGATTTAATGGAAAATAATCGGCTCACCCAAAGTTATCCTCAAGTTTGTCCTCTGTTTCTTGCCGTGTGGAAATTCAAGTCCTGTCGGAACAAGTGATGGACTTCGGATGTGGACTCTTCAAAAACTGACAAGTGGAAAAGACTTTAAATAATGAATGGGCCCTTCAAGTGAAAGTACAGCTTTTTCATACCAAACTTCTAACGGGTTTGTTGACTCTCGTAGTTGTGGTTTCAACCACAACGCGTCCGAAAGATGGCAAGAGCCAGCAGGGTGATAAACTTATATTCGGCATACAATTCTGCCTTCTTGGATCCTTTGTAATACAAATTAATTTAATTATATCGCTCCAGTCAAGAGACAGGGGCTGTGCTAATTAATTTGTCCTAATTTCTTTTAAAAGGAGAAAAAATCGGAGAGGAAGAAAGTGTTCGTTTGAAGACCTCCCAACATGTGCTGGGGAGCCTCATACACGGCCCCCCACAGAGCACTAATTAAATCAACTATCCTCCATAGTCCATGCATACACTCGTCCCCTGTGATGCTCTGTTTCTGTCACATCCATAGATGTGTTTGTGTGTATATATACTACTGCTCAAAACATGTGAACGCTTGCACGTACAAACATAAATAGTGAAATTTACATATGCATTCTTTAAAATATCGGAGGACCTTCCCAGCAATAAAGCTCTCAGAGTTCAGGCTTCGTATTCTTCTAACTTACATCACTGTTGGAAAATGCGCTACACTCCTCAATTATTAAAGACATCCCATCAACTAATTTCTCCCGTACGACGACTTCGCTGATAGGATGGAATCCAATGGCTCCCTTGAATGAAGTTGTCCACCGAATACACCGACACATGTTGGTGTGGAATTTCACTACTCCAGGCCACTCTTCGACTCCGATCAGCACGAGGACCGGCGTTGCTACTCTCCCCGTAATAAAGCGTGTCCAGACCCAAATCACCGTCCCAGGCCATCCAACCCTCCGGCGAGATGAGAGCTTCCAACACAGAATGAATGAACACCGTTCTTGAATACACCTTCCATGGCCTCCCCAGGAAGTTCCTGTGCACCTCCGGCTTCTTCCGGTACTGCGCCATGTACTCCTTCGTCCCGGTCACCACGCACCTATAAAATATAAAGCCTGTCGATTGCGCTGGGTCCGTTCTCCCATGTGCTGTGACTACATTCGTCTCCCCTGTTTCTGGGTTGCTCTGTCTCGCACTCAATAGGATGGCGCACTCCTGGAAAAAAGAAGCCGAGTTGCCGAAGATCACGTCCACATTGCCTTCAATGCGACATGATTTGTAGAATTGGCGAAGTGAATGAGCGTAAAGAGTGTCTTGGTTCCCTATGAATTCCACGTTTTCCAGAACAGAGAGATCGCTGTCTGATCTGAAGGCTACGGCTTGGTGAGCATCGGCTCCTGCCGTGTTCTGGATTGTCAGATTCGTCGCCATGAATCCATCCCCAAGAACTCCTGTCCACGTAATTAATTTTCTTGTTAGAAAGATCGTGAAAATAATTAAAAAAGGGAACAGAAATCATAAAGTCACATGACTCAACGTGTTCGTAACCAAAATGATTCAACTCTCGCATTAATTATCCACCCTCGGATCGCACATTCTGTGATCTATCCCTCTCTGACTTGTTCTTTTTTTTCTTGGGTCAAACACTCGTTCTTCTCTGCACATGGAAAGAGACTCAGGATCCTATTATCTTCAAGAGAAAAGCAGACTTGCTTCTATCTCCCACGGTTTCTCTTCTATTGCTTGTACTAGCACATCTCTTACAAGATCTGTTCAAGTGTAACTCGGCTACCAGATACAATCGTCTAACGTCCTACATAAAATAGAGACAAGATTTCAAAAGACATTTTTTCATAGACTAGCTTTTCACCCGGGGGGGGGACTAAAGTAGTATCTATTATTGAAAATTTTATTTTATAAAAACCTAATCTGCGAGAGCTAAATTGTTTAAATGACTGAACTTGCATAATATTTGTTTTTTGTCAATGAACTGCATAATATCAAGTAATGTAAAATATCATCCGTTAGGGTTATTTGTAAATGAATTTTATGACGAAAACTTAAAAGTCTTTCTTTCTTTTTTATTACGAATAAACAATATAATTGTGTTCTATTTAATTTGTTAAGGGTCTACTGATAGATTTTCCAGCCATGTTCAATGAAAGTGATCACGGGAACACAGGAGGTAGATGGAGCAGGTTGTCGTGTAGTTAAATTTGGACAAAACACACAACCATACAATTAGCAGACCTACAGGAGCACACTGAAACGATCGAAAGAAAACAATTAAACTGATAATTTGCGTCAGATTTCCCACCATGTAGTTTGCATCAACAGACGACGGAAAACAATTTTCATTTTTCAGAAAACGATGAACACAAAGACATGACATAAACTCACCAACAGTGGCGGAATCGTAGGTGGTCATTCCAGGCTGACCAACATGCGCAGATCCAGTGATGATGGTCTTCCTCATTCCGTCGCCCAAAAATATCACATTCTTCTTCTCTAACGGAATCCTAACAGTTTCCTCGTAAACCCCTTTCTTTATATATATCACAAACCTCCCTTCACTGTTATCCGGAGCGGCGTCAACGGCTTCCTGCACCGTCTGGTAACACTCTGTTTCCTTACAAACCGTGACGTCCGCCTTCAAATTCACCAGGAATCCGCCCGTGTACCCAAACCCCTTCTCTTTTCCAGACGGTGGCTCCCAGAAACCGTCGCGCTCCGTCCTCGGCGCCTTCCACGACGCCGTGTCGGTACCAAAGACGTCGTACGACACCATCATGCTCAGCGCGTTGCTGGAATACTTCGTCAGGGTGTCCAGGAAGGCCAGCGTGTCTTCGATGGAGGCGGTATCATTGCCGTATACGTACTTCAACCCGGAGAAGCAGCCGAACTGGTAGGTCAATGCAGCACTCATCCAGGCGCGTGCGTCCTTGGTCTTGCCGCCCGGGAGGGCGTCGTTGACGAGGGAAATGCGATACTCAGAGTCGTGCAGGATGGTGAGGCAGCTCTCGGCGGCCCTGGTGCGGTTGAGATGGTCACCATCGTCGGGCAAGGAGTCGAGGAGGGACCTGATCTTAGATTGAGCGGTTTTGAGGTTGTTGGCGGAGACGGCGATGGCGGATTGGATGATTGAAGCGACGTTTGGTTAACGGATCGGGTCAAAGAAGAAAGGCATGTTGAGGGAAGCGGGTGGCATCGCAGGCGCGCTGGATAGATGGGGAGCCACAGGAGACGGAGGTGACGAGGAAGATGAGAAGAAAGAAGTAGAAAAAGTAGAGTAGGCCATGAAGACGCAGTGGATATATTATTAGAGAGTAGTAGTAATTAATTGCAGGAAGAAGCAAAATGATGGAGGTGAGAGGTAGATGGCGTTATGTGGGGAGCTTATTTGTTCGGATACTGATGAAGAGTGGGGTTGTGAGAGAATGGTGGGGATATCCCAAAATTGGATGGCGCTCGTTTATTATGGGTAAACGGAATGGTGTCGGTAATATTTAGCCTCCTGTAAAGCTCGACTTTACAGTGGTAGGATTTACTTACCACGTTGAGACTACGTGTTGCAAAATTTCTTGGATATATGTCTGAACTATCAACCTAGGACCTGTTCAGAGGTATCTAAAACCGTGGTTTTAGAAGCACTTTTTGTAAAACGAAATAATCTCCTCCACATATTTATTTCGTAATCTGTAAAAACACTTCTGAAATCATGGTTTGGTTTCCATCCAAACACACTCCTAATAAACTCACGAAGCCTTATGATGCTCAGTGTTCACCCTAGTGGCGCTAGGATCATCTTTGAACAGTCCTTTAAGACTTCTTTTCTTCTAGCTGGATGATCATCCTCGAGAGCTAATCTCATCAATCAAATCCTCAAGTCGTCGTATCATCCTAAAAAGAAAAAGCGTCGGTTGTCTCGAGCTTGTTCTTTTTTTGCTCTGAAAAAACAAAAAACTTGACATTTCTTGAATCAATTATTGCAGATGTCATTCACAGGGTCAAATACGACACTGAGCACGTAAAAATTGAGCAAATGAAAAAGGAAGGTGTGAATATAAGGAGGAGGCCGTGAAGGGGTTACTTTTGCCAAATCAGACAGAATAGAAATGCTAAAGGTGAAAATATAGAGATACACTAAATGGGCATGCATATTTGATAAAAATTAGATGGCATCGGAACTAACATTGTCACCCCGTAATGGGATCTCATGCATACGCACACATATATAGATATGTGGCCGAGTTGTTAGTGGGTCAACTGCCCCCCCGCCCAGTGAATAGATAAGTCCGTGATGGCCGCGACGCAGTCCCCGAATCCCTCCCCCCGCCAGTCCGCCGCAAATAAACTCAAGGAAGCGTTTCATTAACAAGATCGGCGTTAATCAGCGAGCTTAGATCCGGACACCTTATTAGACCTATTATAAAATATAAAATAAATATGTGAAAAGAATTTATATTTATAAGTGATTTTTAATTTCATGCCAAACACGATCATCATCTCCTTTTTTGCCTCTCGTATTGACTATTGTCTCAATCTATCACCTGCTTTCCTTCTTCAATTGATTTTATTTTTTCTACTTCTATTTTTTCAAAAAAAAATAAAAGAAAATTACACATTTAAAATTTTTTAACGATGTCATGATTTTTTTATCACAATAATCAAATAACTTATAATATTTAAATTTCATTTTTTAAAGAAAAAATATTGTTTTTTGTACACAATACGTGTTATTTTTAATCCAGAGAAAAATGTGGCTAGCTCTCCGTACCAAATTCAGACCCAATAATAAGTCGCCCTTTTTTTTGGGTGATAACAGGTCATCTTCTCTTTGGGCCAGATTTTACGAATGCTTAGAGTTTGAGATTCCACACCTTCATAATAATATCTTTTATTTTATATTGATATACCAATGATTTTGGAAAGTGGTGAGAATGGTTTTTGCTGGGATGAAAAGGAAACAAAAGGAAACTACTCTTTTGGCCATATAAGAAAAGGGTAAAAAACCACGTTGAGGTGAAAAAAGAGAACAGAAGATTCTAAAATAATAGTGTTATTATTATATATTACCTCTTATTCTAAATATAAAAACTAATTGACTAATTTGAATAGATTAAAAAAAATTTAAATTAGTTATTTGTAATAAACAGATATTATCTTTCCTAAAATATTTTTACTAATTAAATGTATTAGTTAAAACTACTATTATTTGAAAGGATTACTTTAAAATAAATAAATAAATATAAAAAACAAATTAAATTAGATCTTATATTTAAAATTAAAATAAAATTCAAACAACTATCCAATGATCCAACGAAGATAATAATACCCGTGTTAATGTTGGCGAAAACGGCATAACTCACCACGTTGGAGTACCTCACTGCCTCGCTTGCTACTCCGAAGCTCTGTCTCTCGAAAGGCTGGGGCATGGCAAAATCACGCGCCTCTTTTGGCTCCCGTCAATGTTATCAACTCTAGGGTTTCTCTTTGGACTCTCTGCTATAACTAATTTGTGAGTCCTGTCTATTTTCCTCTACTTTCCTTCTTCGATGTGTAATCTAGGGTTTACGACATTCTTTCTTTTACTCTGTGAACATTTGTCCCGGTTGAAACTGTTGTTTTTGGACTTCTCGTACAGTGAGTGCAGTGTTCAACTCCCTTTCATTTCAAATTTTAAGGTTTTATCCATGTATAATGCAATTTCGGTTTCAAGACTACATCTTGGATTAGGGACGACTGGGTTATCTATTTCTGTGTGTATCTTTTGTTCTTCAGAATTTAAATATCTGATTGAGGCAATCCCCTCGTAAGTTTTTCTTGGCCATTTCAACGTCTTACCAGCTAGACGACGGAAAAAGTAGTTATGGATTAGGAAGCTTAGGAATTATGATATGAGTAGCGGTTAGTTTTACTGTTTTTTTAATGTCTGCTGATGTCTTGCTGGGTCTTCACATGGAAGACTGGCTACCTTTGCTACTTGTGATCTTCCCTTTCGCGAGTATTGTACTTAGCCTAGAGTAGTATGACTTAGGAACCACTGAAATTATTATGGACTCTGATAAATTTTGTTAGTTATAGACTAATAATAAAAGACAGCAAGTCCCTGTTAGTGTTTCATCTCCTTCTTTCGTTTGCTCTGATTTACTTCTGGTGAAACATGTCCTTCCTTTTCTGTTCTAGGATTTTTGGTGCAGAATTTAGAATTCTGAAGATTATATAGCATACAACTGTTGGATTTTGATATGGCCTTTGGTCTTGGTTATGATTTTATTCTTTCTTAGTTCTTATTTGGGAACGATCTATATATGCATATACTTTTGACAGTTGGGATATGGTGTCTCTTGGACATATGTAGCCTTGTTTAGCCTTGATCCAAGTATGAAGTCACTTTGTATGCTAAAGTTGCCCAAAGGTTACTCACCTGATATTGATGGAAGAAGATTTATATGGTCACTCACACCTCTTGACCTTATGATTACATCTTTAGGGTTTCATCTATATTCCTACCTTGCTTGTCTAGATGATAAGACATTAGGTTGTAGGTTAGGCACTTTCCTATGTGCTTTAGTTCTCTGTATCTCAGTAAGAGTACATTTTCTGAAGTACTAATATGAGATACAATTTTTCTGCAGTAATGTCATGTGATCAGTGCGTGAAGATGTTTCCAAGTTCATTCCAAGTAGCTGGTGTAAATATGTTTCAAATGGGATTTGGTCCCTCTACAAGATCGATATTGGATATTTTACACATTAAACAATCTATTTGGAAATATTGTCGGAGTGGAGATTATTTCAATATAATCTGAGATAGCAGCATAAACCACTGGCTAGTTCTCAAACTGGAAAGGGTGTTTCACCTTATGTAATAAATTTTTACCGGTAGTGCCAAATGTGCATCAAGGACAGCCATTGAAGAAATCAATGCAATAGATGTCATAGACAGATCAATCTGCTTTTGAGTGGTCAATTGTTGAGTTTTACAGTTGGGGAGACTTTCTGCAATTTATGAGTACAAGTGTTGTAAAGATATTATACGATTTACATTATATACAAGGTTTTTTTTGGTCATTTTCCATGGACAATATGAAGAGACTTTGGAAGATTATTGGGAAGTTTGGAAGTGCTAGATTCTTTTGTTTGTTTGATAAAAAATTCAAAGCGCCTTTGTTGTCTTGCCGTTAAAATCACATTGAAATTATTTTTGAGAACTTGTATCAGTATGCTTCGCTGAAATATTGGACCTATTGGTTGTGAAAGAAGCTACTACCACTCCTGATGTTTATGGTTTGCTCGCCTTATGAAAACTCGCGTATTTATGGGGTCTAGGGATCAGTAACAAAAATTGCCGTCAAAAAGTTAGTCATTTGCTTGCTTAGGTTTTGAAATGGACTTATTTTAAAGTTAGTTGTATCAACCTATTCTAGATTCCAAAGAACATAAAATAGAGTTTTCTGTGCTTAGACTGACCTATGGCATGGGTAATGTTGACTACTTTAGGGACCCTATAAGTATCTTGACTCAATTAGTTTTTGGCTTCTTCGGGTGACATGTCCTTCGTTGTTGGAAAAATGTGTTAAAAGTTTCATAGGCTAAGAAGTAACTAATGATTGTTAGTACTACACATGAGAAAAGGAGCTGTGTCCATGTCTGATACACTTCAAAAGTCAAGTTAGTACGAGAATTTGGTTAGAATACCAGCATTGTTACTTTTACTGTGATGTAATGATAAGGCATTTTTTGTTATTAGTTGTCAGCTGTTTTCTTTCCAATAACATGTTTTCTTGCTTTGGTGAACCAAAAAAGAAAAAACTTGAAAGAAAAATCGGTTCAGATTCCTGGTTTTTGGTGATTTATACGTTGATGTTTCTAATCCAGCACACTGCATTAATCAGAGGACAGCGACAAGTCTCTAGGAGTGGAATGAGTGGAAGTGGCAGAAGGCGGTCCTCAAAGTGGGATTTAAGAGATGAACCTGAGTTTGTATCGGACAGTAAGCAGTTGCGATCTGGGTGGTCCTCTGCCAATGTTACTGGTAGCAATAGTTCGAAATGGTCTTATTTGGAAGGGAATGAGAAGCTAAAACCTAATTCACGATTACCATTCAAGGAACCTTTTTCTGGAGGCAGAGTTTCTAATAAGGATGATATCATGAATAAAGAATATAATAGGGATTTGGATACCAAAATGGCTTGGGACGCAGATGAAAGCTATGGAATGAAAATGTCTCCAGGGTTGGAGGAATGGAAACGTAAGAGGCGCAGTCATTCCCCAAAAAATGGTTTGGACAGGTCGGTAAGATTTAAATCCCTACTCGGCATTTCTTTACCAATCTATTTTCCAATTTAATGAAATATGGAATGTCATGAAAAGTCCACAAATAAACAATTATGTGGAATTATATGCTAATTTCCTTAAGTCTTTAAATTTGTTTATCCTTTCATCTTGTTGCATGTTGTGCTGCTATTCCAATGGGAGAGCTGTTTACACTCAACCAAAACAATCTGACACCTCTGAACAATGTTTTCGGGAACGGAAATTTATTTTTTTTTTTTTGGGGGGGGGGGCGCTCAAATGTCATTGCTGGGTTAAAGACTTGTGTTTTGTAGATCATGTTCGTAAAGTTGTGTTAATTAGAAAATCAATTTATGCTCTAATAATATGCCCTAAGATTGACGTCATTATATAGACTTTTTTGGGCAAGAATATGAATTATAAATTTAAGTTCTAGCCAAAAAACTTATTTATGGCCAATTCATTTGAAATTCGGTAGGGATGGTCAACAGTTTGTTAGTGTGTCAACTCTCACGTCATTGTCAAATGAACCTGACTAGGAAAAGCTTCAAAGCCGAAGTTAGCTTTTTTCAAAAGATGTTTTATATCAAAAGAACTTTTGAGATTGTGCAAATAAGGTGTATTCTGTATTTCTTCCTTTCAGTGTCATTCTTGAACTTTTTGATTGCTCTCTAGTTTGGATCTTTGACGGTTAATTGGTCATTGATTTGAGGTTATTAAACCAAATACCCTTCTCTTTGCAGTACTGTTTTGAATTTATTGGTTATGATCTTTAGGGTCATCATAATGTATCAGCTCTAATTTTTGTTGATGCAGTGTCTTTTATTGATTGCCTATCCTTTCTTTGGATGTTGTCATATTTAGGAGTAGGAGCCGGAGCCGGAGCCGGAGCCCTGGCCATTGTTTTAGGTGGGAATCAGGAGTCAATGAAAGAAATAGAATGAGAGCTGGAGGATTGCCACAACCATGTAGAGATTTTGCTGTTGGAAAATGCAGAAGAGGCAGCCGTTGCCATTTTCTTCACCATGATGATCGAAATTATGAGGATGGCTGGGACAGTAGAAGCAGGAAAGATGGACCTCCCAGATATTCCACTCCCTATGAAAGCAGGGACTATTCTGCCAGGAGTGGAAGATCTAATGAGACCTGTATCAATTTTGCGCAAGGCAAATGTAGAATGGGAGCATCTTGCAAGTACGTGCATCATAGCAATTCTGATGATATGAGCAAAGGAAATGTAGATGACTCAACTAGAGAGAGGGAATTTGATCAAAGGCACAGAGAGAGTTCTTTTGAGCGTGGTGGTGGGCATGAGCCAAACCGTTTTAGTGATACTCCCTGCAAATTTTATGCAGCAGGAAATTGTCGCAATGGTAAATATTGCAGGTTTTCTCATGATAGGCGGGCATCTAGAAGCCCCAATCGAAGATTAAGAGATGACAGATGGGGGAATAATCCAGGTGGAGATCAGACATTGGATAGGCCAAGAGGGAGTAACCCAGTCAGTCCTAGTAGAAGGCTGAGAGATGATAGATGGGGTCCAGATGGTAACATGGTTGACATGGATAAGGTGTGGGATGGTCCAAAACTGAATGATGCTGTCGCTGTCTCAGATGCAGCAAAGCTGGGTGAAGATAAGAGTGGAAATATGGGTATACCCGAACCTGGATTCGCTACTTGGCCCAGGACTGATGGATGGAATGGTAATTTAGATAACAACAAAGTGTATGCTGAGCCACCGTTTGTGGGTGACAAGAAGAAAGAAGATCAATGGAAGAAAGAAAATGCTGGTGTTACCATGGGTGCTCCCCAATCAATTGGGACTGACAAATGGCTTGTTGATGCAGAAATGTCTCCTGATTGGAATTATGGGAGTGGATCTTCTGCGCATATTGAAGACAAGAGCGGGCAGAATAAACTTGGTTTGACCCAGGGTGGTGCGTATTCAGCTGCCTCTGAACATCACAGGTTACAAGTTGCTCCAGGTAATTATCTGCTTGATGTTTCTGGAGGTTAACGTCATCTGTTTTTAAATACATCTTATAACATGGAAAACCAAGATTTTAAGGATATTGCTATTGCATTCACAAGTAATGATAAGACTGTCATTTAGGAATCTCCTGGTTCTTACATAGACAATTTTTCAATTCTGTCAGGACTCAATCAGAACTCACAGAATGAAAATGCTTTGCGTCCTTCTAGCTGTAATGTGGCTGGACAAAGTCAAGGGGCAGTCCCTCTTGTTCCTCCACTTGGAGGGATAGCTGAAGTTATACAGAACCAAGCGTCTTCTGTAAAAAAGTACAGTGGCGAACCAAATATCATGGATGCAAGCTTATCACATGTTAATACGATAAATACTGCTCAAAACATGGTGAGCAATGAACAGCTTGCTCAACTTAGCAGCCTCTCAGCCTCTCTGGTTCAATTCCTGGGAACAGGTCAGCAACTTCCGCAAATTTATGCTGCTCTAAATTCTCATGACGTGAAAAACATATCCTCCCTAGCCAACGCTGAAGCGTCTGGGGAGCCTGTTTCCAGTGCATACATCAAGCCTGATCCTGTTATTGGATCCCGGAAGCTGTATGATCCAGTGAGTGACGGTATGGAGCCAAAGGATACTGATGCTGGTGGAATCACGCCTGCCTTTTCTCCTAGTAAAACAATTGCTGATAGTTCAGGGAGACAACATCCTGGTGATTCTTGTAAAACCTCAGAAGAACAAATTGTCAAGAGTGAACATTTAATTCTATCGCAGCCTGGTCAAAAAGTTGAAGCCAATAAGGCAAACAATGAAGTGGCATCTGAGGAAAGGCAAGATTCTCGAGCAGATGATAGAAATGCAAAAGATAACGGTCCTTCAGAAAATTTGGACCAAAATGGGCCTGATGAGGCAAAGAAGACGAAGGATGTGAAGGGGATTCGTGCTTTTAAATTTGCTCTGGTTGAGTTTGTTAAAGAGCTTCTGAAACCAACATGGAAAGAAGGTCATATCAACAAAGAACATTATAAAACAATTGTGAAGAAAGTTGTTGATAAAGTAACTGGTACTATGCAGGGGGCTCATATCCCTCAGACACAAGAAAAAATTGATCACTATCTGTCAGTTTCAAAACCAAAGCTTAACAAACTTGTACAGGTCAGTTTATTTGCATGTTGAAATTATACATCTGACGGACTTCAAGTTGTTGTCCCCATCTAAGTTGCTTTTCTAGATGCATGTGAATTTTGATCTGGAAACTTGTATAAAGCTTAACTTGATGTTAATAGTGCTTCGGGAAAGTTGTCTAAGAAAATGAGTTTAAATCTTGAGCACAAGTTTGTGTTCCCTACTGATATTCATCATGCATAACTGACCATAAAATTTAGTCTCATTATCATATGAAACAAAAGTAATTTTGGGAACCGATTTTTAACTTGAACTATTTTCTTGATTATTTCACTTTCATTTCATAGTGTAATTATTTTGTTAATTTAACAAATAATCAGTAAATGACGTATTCAAAGGATGAATATCCACAGCATATCAAAAATCTTGTTTGTTTTCAGATTTTTGCTTCTGTTTAATTGTTGCGGGTTTCTAGCTTATGTGATCTCTAATTTGTTTTGATCTTCATGTTTGACCTTTTTTCTTGCTGAACGTGTTACCATCTTATAGCTGAAGTCAAAGTATTCTATTTGAATGATGGAAATATGGAATATATGGCAGCTTCTGAATCTAAATTTGCAATTGAGATAGGTTTTTTTCTTCTGTCGAAGTCTATCAAGCTGATGATAAGTGATAACTTGGTGATTTTGTTTCCTTGTGTTGCAGGCATATGTTGAAAAGGTTCAGAAGGCTTAGTGCCAGTATAGGAATTTGGCCATCTAGACTATCGTAATACATTGTGATAGGGGTTATTATCTTCATTGTGTACTATATTTCAGTACCTCGTAGATTTTTGTTTTGTCGGTGTCGTAGTTGATGGTCGATTTGAGTTTCTTTACAGCTATTGCTGACAGACAGGGATTATTTATTTTCACTTTCTGATAACTTCCCCCCCTTTTCTTCTGGGAAAAATTTTGGGCGTCTCCTGCTATCAGACATTAGTTGCCACTTCAGTTTGAGGCTAATGTGGGATTTATTTTACCTGGATGGTGTTAACTTCAACGCTTTTTTTTTTTTTTTGGGGTAAACCTCAACGACTTTTAGGCCTTTTCGGTGCGTGCTTACGTCCGAAAATGGAAACTCCATCCACCTGCTCAATATTAATAGGAGGTTCTTATTATAAATTTTAAATAGCTAATTTACAGATAATTAATAATTAGTTAAAATTAATTAAAAATAATAATTAGGTTAGAAATATATTTTTGTTCCCAAATACTATGTTTTTATGATAAATAAGAAAAAGGATGAAAGAGAATGTGTAAAAAATGTGATAAGAAAGAAATAATTAAAGGTAATATTGAAAAAATTCATTAAATGTAAAAAAAAAAAAAAAGAAACCTTAAATGGAAGCTCAAAAATGGATTACACCAATTAAATTTAAAGCTTGTAAATAGAATGAAAGGAGTGTGATAATATAAAGTCATACTAGTTGTTAATAAATAATTTTAAAATATTAAAAAAAATTAGTTAAATTGGTTATTTGTAATAAGTTTATGTTGTCTTCCTTGTAGTATTCTTGGTAATCATATACTCCTCCGGTCCTTAATATAAGATCTAATTATTGAGTTGGTTTTGGTCCTAAATATAAGAGCTGTTTCTCATATTTATCAATCTTCTCTAAATTACCCTTATGGATACTCCCTTAACCATAATCAAGTAGAAGAGAAAGAATGGGGTATAAAGAAAGATGATTATGGTATTTTAGGAAAAACGTGTCACATTTCTTATAATTAACTAACTTACCTAACTTCCTTAATTTAATCAAATTAGTTAAATAGGTCTTATATTAAGGACCGGGGGAGTATATTAGAATGTAAACCTTTTAATATGTATAATTTTTATGAAAGGTACTTAGAGAAAAAATGAATTGGAGTCTCATATTTAAGGTCAAATTAAATTTTTAATGAGTTCTTATATTTTGAATAAGAGATAGTACTATTTATAATCATAAATAACTTGGTTATTTTAAACTATGAACTGCTTTAAACTATGAAATACATAAAAAAATGATGTTAGAATATATGATAAAATTATTTGGTCAAAATTACCAAAGTAGCCGGTAAATTACATTATGATGGCGCCATTTTAGTCCCAATTATTATGTGCGTACATTATTGAGAGGCAGTAAAATGCGCAGGGTCTGGTTATCTCTTGACCTACTGTCTTCTCGAAACTTTTAAGAGGTTTTTCTACCATAATCAATCAAGTATAATTTCCACAATCAGGTCCCAGTGGATAAATTTGAAAAGTACCCTATATTTTCAATGGGGAATTTTCCCCTCAATTTTCAAAATAATTTGTTTTTTTAATATGTTTACTTTCACGGAGCAGCGTTATCTATGCTCAACGGAATATTGCTTTTAAAAGGATTTTTGGTGGCATAATATTTTCTTTTTTGGAATTGCAAAGGCAAACCCATTGTTTCTCATATATTAGGTGTTTGACCCCTTCAATTTCAGGATAAAAAGGACGATTGGCACCACTCTTCTTTGAAAGCATGTTGAGAGCTTCCATGGAATCCGAGAAGAGTTGAACCACCTATCCTGATACTACAATAGTGGTCCACTTATTTTGGTACTACAGTAAGATAATATTATCGACCGCTTTCGAATATGAGCCCAAAGAAATTAAAATCAATATGCCAGCAATAGAACAAACTCCCGTCTGATTTTTGGTGACTCGCGTTTAATTTAATATCAAGCCAATGAATTTTCTACATGTCCATGATAACGCCAGAGAAGAACAATTATTGAACTGCAGACCCCCGTTTTTCAAAAGACAACGGGACATAATCATCACACAATTGTCTTTATCGTGTGAAAAATCAATCATATATGGTTCTGGCGTCATTAATTACAAATTACGACAATCTCATTGCCATTATACAAATCACCGGCACTATTCTATTCCATGCTTCTATTTTCTGTTAAACAGACCACGGTTTGAATGCGCATTTATTGCCAAGTGATTATCCTATCATTATATGCGCTTAGCAATACGAAGAATTAATAAAGTGTGGGGTTTCATTGATTGTGGATCGATCAGAGACTTCCATATCAGTGTCCATTTCACGATAATACATTCCAATTCCTGCTCATTATTTGGTTCCATATTTTGAGCAACAATTGGTACACAGTACAGATTACACTAAGATATGTTTCATGGTTTTGGACGTGTGTGAAGCCAAGAAAAAACAAATCCCCGTCTGCATTATTGTAATTTTAGTTTTCAGCCTCAAGTCTCTCTCTGTAAATCTCTGATTACTTGTCATTTTTCTCTTTGAATTATTTTCAACCTCCTCTTTGATCACCACGCTCATTAAATACTATCTCTAATCCTTAATATAAGAATTGGTTGACTAATTTAAGTAGATTAAAAAAATTTGTTAAGTTAGTTATTTGTAATAAACATGTGTTGTCTTTCTTAGAATATCCTTATTAATCATGTGTAGTAGCTAAAACTATCATTTGATGAAACTTTTAATATGTATAACTACTATAAGGATTGCTTTGAAAAATAGATAAATACTACCTCCGGTCCTTAATATAAGATCCTATTTGACTTTTATTTTGGTCCTAAATATAAGATCCCAATCCATTTTGTCTCTCATATTTATATATATTTTTCAAAGTAACCCTTCTAATAATGATAGTTCTAGTCAATATACTTAATTAGTAAGGATATTTTAGAAAAGACAATATTTATTTAGGACAAATAACTAACTCAACTTACTTCTTTAATCTCCTCAAATTAGTCAACTAGTTCTTATAATTAGGACCGGAGGTAGTATGAGAGACAAAGTAGATTAGAATCTTATATTTAATACCAAATTAAAAGTCAAACTAGTTCTTAGATTAAACATCAAAATTTGTACCTTTGCATGGTCATCATTTCATTAGACCAAGATGTTTTGGCCTTTTCCTATGTAATATGAGTGATTTATTATGCTTCATTGAGTGATTGATTGGAACCGGATAACTACTATTTCCTTCCATCCCGATTATAATAGCTAATTGGGGTATCTATTTTGTTTTTAAATTTAAAATCTCAAATCTATCTTCTAAATTTATAATTTTCTCCAAATTATTCATATTGTTTTCATGTATAAAAGGAGGTTTTCATGAGTAACAATAAAAAATAAGCATTTCAGAGAAATCAATTTGTATTTATTATAAATAACAAATTGAATTAATTTTCTTAACATATATAAATTATTTATTTAATTTTTATATTTAATTTGAAATTAGAGGTAATAAATACCTACGCTTAGGACCATTTTTTTATTCCAATGCCTTTACGAGTTACGACAATGCATGTGTCCTTTAACATTGATTGGTTTATTGCCATGGAAATAATGAATATCAATAACGAGTCGGTAATTTATCGATTATTATGAAATTCCGTACCTTGTTTTTATTTCCTCTGCCTATTGAAGAATTAATTCGTGGCGCCTCGTTTGTTTGCATCTATATAGTAAAATCTTGTTCTCTAGTTAGATCAGTCTAGTACGTAACTGGGGAGAAAAAAGGATTAGCCGAGTAAGAAAAATGATTAATCATTCATAATTTAACGAACAAGATCGATTTTTTCATCTATGTTGGGCCCCCCAGGGTCATATTCAAAGTGGGGAAGACCCAGCTGGGCTCAGTAACGATGAGGTAAATATACATGAGAACTATACACTAACAGCAATTTTATCTTATATACCTCTTTTTCAATCCAACTCTATCCAGAATTAGACTTTTCCTATTTTCCCACATCAAGTCTACTCATATTTTGATATATATCCCAACAAATTAAAGAGGGTTTGGATTTCATCAATTTTAAATATGCTTAATTGCATAATTAAGGTATGGTGGGATATGTATGACAAAGGGTGAAACTTGGTTATTTATTTATTTTACTTTTGATCGTGATTGCATGCCAACCAGAATAGCAATGAGGTGAAAGGGAAAGAAAGATGATGGTTACAAGTCCAAAGGAGAGCTTTCCAAAGGGCAAGAATAGAGGAAACAAGGATAAAAGGCCCTTTGGTTCTCTTTTTCCCAAAATGGGAAGTGTGAAATTACTCAGTCTAAGCAAGTCAGTGAGTCCAGACTCTGAGGAGTCTAAGCATTTTGAATTCAATGACAGAATTAATGGTGGTGGTGGGGAAAAAAAAGTGATATTAATGCATGGCGTGTCAGATCTGACCCAATCCTCCTCGTAAACGTGTTCTTCCTTTTATACTCACTCTTGTCAAAAGCTGCCTAGTTCCCCTTGTGATATGCCCATTACCCCCAACACCCCCTTTTATTATTATCATGCACGTTTATTCAAAGCCCTCTCTCTTTCTTTTTCCCTTGTAGATTTCAACTCTGTAAGTTATCTCCACACTTTCCTTCCTGTTTGTGTTTTGGAGAAAACCCACTTATTACTTCAATCCTCGTTCCGGTTATTTCCTCTAAAAGAAAGCACGCATTGTTCAAATGCAACCAGAAAACACTGCTAGCTGGTGTGTGTATATATATGCCATTTGGTCATTCTCCTTTTCATTCGAGTCTCGTAACTCTGTTCTAATTGTGCGTCAAAGCAATCCATCGGATCATCATTATGAGGTGTGTGGTAGGTCCACTTTGTGATTATTACTTTTTGGGTTTCGGTAAGTTTTGGCAGCAGACCTTTATATAAAAAATAGATATAATGATTCTTGTTGACTATAAAATTTAGCTGATGCCACCCATAAATTAAAATTAGATGGATGGAACCCTATTCACATGCTTAATGCTTTCTTCTTGTCCACTAAGCTTAGCTGCAACATACGAACATAACACGCACATTCACACGGATGAAGCAATAAATGCCATTCATGGCGCAGTAATTCGTGATATATTAAATGAGAGCAAGTTAAAGGACTGCAGAAAGAAAGAAAAATCAAAAGAACGTATAGATAAAGAAAGATCGTACGAGTTTTGAGGGCCAAAAAATCTCCATTGTTCATTAGGGATCAAAGTTTGTTTTTTTTCAGATTCTCACAAGAAATCATTAGATATAGTTTGGCCATACTTCTGAGTAATTAGATCTTCTGCAGCTATTGCAAAACTTATCTGCTACATATGCTCAACTGCTATAAGAAAGCTTATGGTAACTATTTCTTTTCCTTGTAATTTTACTATTCCTTTTGGTTATCTGTATTTTGAATCTAAAACAATAAAAGAGGAGAGATGATCCGATCATGTCCCTTATTTATATATATTCTTTGAATCCGAACACACACGCACGCACGCACGCACGCGCCTCTTAGTTCTTGGTACCATTATAGTCTTGTTGACCTAACTTCTTGCAATAAATCCTGTGAAAATTAGACGACTCTAAAAGTCCAAGCCACGATATATATTAATAAACTTGCGTCTTAGTTCATAACTATAATACATTGATCTATCGCTTGCTGATCTTATAATATAATTAATTTTCTGAAAGGAAAGGAAGAATCTGTAGAGAGCATAGGGAGCTTTTAGTTCAGATGACGATGGTGGGGTCCTTAGTACCAAAACCCAAGTGATGAAACCCTAGCCATGAGATGGAATCAATGATTACTTTGAGCATGCGCAAGTGTATATCACAACACAAAATTATAACGTGTGTTTATACATAGGAAAGTGAGAGCAGATACGTGCGTGTAAATGTTGTACTTGACGACTGAGAAAATGATCACACAACCTCGTCCCACCGTCTGATCATCTCAGCGGTAAATTTTTGTTTTTCAGGTTTGTTGGCTTCTGACTCTGAGGATGATGCTTGCGTGAATCAGAAAACATATATCCTAACTACGTTTCTACTTCACCCAATAATATTTTCGAAGTTTCTCTATATATGAGACGGTAAATTAAAGGGTTATCTTAATTAGGTTTTTCCTACAAATTTATTCAATAAAAATATGATATGTAGCTTTTTTTTTTAATGAAAAATGCTTAAGACTTGTGCTGATTATCCTTTAATGTTCGATGCAGCTTTGGAACTATATTCTACTTTTCAAAAGCATTTATGGCTTTAGTTAATATCAGTGTAGGGGAAAAATTATGTTAGTCAATCAACGTTACTATATATATAGATATATAAATTAGATGAGACCTTGACTTTGAATTTTCATTCCAAATATTCCGTTTGGGTTATTTAATTGGGGAATGGCACACCAATGCTCAACGAAATTATCTTGTTTAGATTCGTCATTCAGGAAAAAAGAATTATCTCTATGTTAATCTAAATGACATCAGCAATTCGACTTGCACCAATGAAAAGCGAGATATAAATGAAACAATTAGGCTTATTCCTGAAGTTTTCCATATGTTCCATAATACTTATGATATGGAAAACCCTCTATATATGGATAATATATCACCGGCCAGCTTCTTCCTTTTTATAAAGATTCTAGTTGGTTTCAACTGCACGGCACCAACTTAAATACATGTTCATGGTGTGGTATAGGCTAATTTCATATTAATAAACACAATTTGATCATCGGTGATATTGATGTGTCAAACGGTCTTAAATGTAGGAAATGAATTATTATGGCATTCCAAGTACATATGACGCTAGCACAGATGCTGCCAAATTGTGATTATGATTTATGACTTTGTTAGATATGTCTTTACAATTAAATCAGATGTCTAGTACCACAGCTATTAAGTTCGATCATCAGCACAAGTAAAAGGGAGATGGATCGAGGCCAAACCTGTTCTATATCAATATTCGTTACTTAAATAATTAGAGAGGTTAATATCAATGTTAATTTTGTGATCTATTCTTACAATGCAATGCAAATATATAAATAAAGCTGGTTTATCTTGAATAATGGTCCAAACCCAAAGCCCATGTGATTTTTTTAATCCATGATGATTTGTAATTTCTGTATGTGTTCACCAAATACGCTTGCGTGTGTCGAGAGAATGGAATAGTGTTCACGAAATCTGAAAGTTTTTAGATTCTGAATTTTGTCGAAAAGCTTCTGTTTCGGGGAATTAACACATAGATAAGCACAAATAGATTTTGCCCCATTGTTTCCTCATAATTTAATCTCTCTACAGCTTTTGATTGCTGCTCCGACGACTCTTGGATTCGTTCATAGGAATTTTATATCAGAATTAATTTCATATGTACTGCTTTTTCACAATTCTTGTCGATAAATTCAATATATAGTTCTCTCTAATTCAATGTATTGAAAATTCTTCAAACACATTGAGACTTGCTTTTCTTTCTTCCTTCCTTTTGTTTTGATTATATATTCGGATTCAGTATGAAACAATACATTCACATGGCAATTCTTGATCATGTCTGTACAATAATTTCTTGTTGCAGCAATGTAACGGACTTCACTAACTTTAATCATATTCCCCACCCACTCACACATAAACCAAATTAATTTACTTAAATTTTGAAATGTTAGTATGGTGATCTCTACTTTTTTCAATATCATTCCATAAACAACAAAGATTTTAAATAATTATGGTTTCATAATTTAATTATGAAACTCGATATGTACTCTTCCTAATTAATTAACATCGTTGATGAGAGGAATCTCCCTTTGGAAAATCATGATGTGTAGTACATACAAGCATTTTTTGCTTTCTATACATATAACATTATCATACTAATAATGATTTGCATATTATTTTGTTTTTTGTTTTGACAAAACCTCCTCAGGGTCAAAACAGATCTTACAACTCATCCAGTGCTTCTCCAAGACACAGACACATTACTATATATGTAGCATATCCGAATGATAAAATTTTTGTTGAAGCGTATTTTAAACACATTTTTTCATAAACATCTTTCTTTTGGATATAATTATATCAAATTTTAATAATAACTAATCGAACTCTCCAAGCATTAATTACTAACTGAATATTAATTTTCCGCATGCATCTAATAATTGCCATTGACGAGAAAGCTTTAAGGAAGGAAAATAGAGGAAAGTTGTGAAAACAAGGAACGGCTTATGTGACCTCTTATATTTGGATACTTATAGCTACATATATTGAAGATAGTAGTGATGGATAGATAATATACAAGAGTAACCATGGAATGATTAAGAATCACATATACAAAATCAGGAAAGAGCCAAGAAAATGAGTGAAAGAGGAATGAATTAATAGCAGGGAATGATAGCAAGAAAGGAGGGGACGCATACATAAATGCTAAAGCAGAAGCAGCGCAGCCCAATGATTTCAGTGCAAACAAAAAAGTTGAGAGAGAAATTAAGTCTTCCCTACTTGTGCAAATCTTAAACCTTGTATGCTACCTTTTTCCTTAACCGTTGATCCATTATTAACATATTTGCAGACCGCCACCAGCAGCTAGGTAAATATTATTGAAACCCATATTCATTCAATCCCTTTGCTATATGCACACCTTTTTCTATGAATTCATTAATTAGTTATAATCTGTATCATTTATACTTTTTGCAGTTACTCTCCTTTCAGTAAAAACCAGCCCCTCTCAAAATCCAAATGCTTCCCTCTCTCGCTCTCTTTCTTCTCTGCTGGGGCCCCTTTGGCCAGCAAGCTATAGCTTTCTTTTGAACCATCAAATCCAAAGATTATGTGATTGACAGGGAGAAACCCTCAAAGTCTTGCTAGCCACCCCTTTTCGATCCTCTTCTTCATCATCCTTTTTCCACATACATATATATAATTACAGTTAGCGCGGTGTTGTTTCCTGTCACAGACAAATACCAGATTCCATAATCAGTGTATTATATCTCCTTCTCATCTCATCATGGATATCAACCGAAGCCCTACAATGTTCACAAGCGTTAACAACACCACTTGGAATCTGTACAATATGGAAATGGATCAAAACCTCCATCATCAAATCCCTATGTGTTCTCCTTGGCCTAACTTCCCTAATTACCCTCATCAGATGATACCGTCTTCTTCGTCCACCGCAATACCCTCTTCAGGGTTTCTAAACAACGTCGTTTTGGAAGAAGAGCATGAAGAAGAAGAAGAAGAAGAGCTGGGAGAAGTGAAGGAGATGCTGTACAAGATCGCTGCTATGCAGCCAGTGGACATAGACCCAGCCACCATCCGAAAGCCAAAGAGGCGAAACGTCAGAATCAGCGACGATCCACAAAGCGTCGCGGCGAGACACAGAAGAGAGAGGATCAGCGAGAAAATGCGAATCCTCCAAAGACTCGTCCCTGGGGGCACCAAGATGGACACTGCCTCCATGCTCGACGAAGCCATTCGCTATGTCAAGTTCTTGAAGCGACAAATCAGGTTACTCCAATCCCAACCCTCACCCTCACCACCACCTCCACCACAATGCATCACTGACACTCTTGCCAATATTGGGGTTAACAATACTGCTGGTTCTAATATTCATGGCGATCACTGGCCTTTTGCACCACCGTCTTTACTGCACTGTCCCACCACCACCACCACCTCCTCCTCCGCCGCTGCTGCTATGGGCATGCCGGTCCGACTGGGATTCGGTTCGGGCTATAATCATGAGTCATGAGGTAATTATATATATATATATATAGGCTAATTATTATATGTATGGCATGGGTTGTGTGCATATAAAATTATGTGTGATGAGTTGTGTGTTTGAGAAGAAAAATAAATTGGAACCAGAAAGGAGGTGGATTCATAATTTGGAAAAAGGGATGATCAAGGGTTTTGATGGCAGAAAAGGTTTGTTATGATAATATTGTTGACTGAATGGGACTTGTAGCGTAGAATAATCATAATGGCATGGCTTGGATCGATTACGTGCAGTGATATATATGATGTTAAGATTGGAATCATTTCTGTGCGGTTCGGAGGTTGGCCAGAAAGTTTGTTTGGCCGATCTCTCTCTCAGGAAAAAAAAAATGTAAACTTTGTGACGTGATCAGAAGCTAATATATTGATGAGGAATAAATATAATGGATGTGATCCTCTCTCTCTCTCTCTGCGCCTGTTGTCATGTGTGCAAGATATATGTAAGCACAGCAGTACTGGGCTCAAAACATGGATTGCGTAAATATGTAAGAATAACTGTGTTTTTGAAGTAAGTGGAATATATGCTTTTGATTTTTGAGTGCTGCTCATCATAATTTCTAGCAATGGTGTGGAAGAAAGCCCTAAAGGGGCCAAAGTGAAAACTAGACCTGTAATTTGACAAAAGCAACTTAAAGCTGTGAAGAAATACCTGATGGTAAACAAATGGCTGTGCAGAAAAGATAACTGAAGGAAAAATTAAAGCTCCTAGCTAGTCTTCCCTTTTTCTACGAGCATATAAATCTAACATGCAAATAGGGGGTTTAGGAGCTCCAGCTAAACTTACAATATGGTTTGCATGCATACTAAAACATGTCTGTATTTAGTTGTATATAAATTTATATATATTATATTATCCAATTATCTGTAATGGATGCCAGTAGCTTTAATGACAAATAATATTATACTTGAATTTCAGAGCGGTATAAAAAGGGAATTAACACAACGCACGCGCCCTCTTAAGGATGCTGAGGTTGCGTATATATATCATGCAAGTGAATTTTATTGCTATGAGATGATCGGGATTCAGATTTTTCTTTGAGTTCATATAAGAAATTGCTATGAGAAAACAAACTACTTCATATCAATACTGTAAGTGCATGTGCTATATATAGGGAGTTAAGTGAGCGACTCCATTATCCACATACGATATCGCTTTCGATCTGTAATTAATTTGAAGTTCAAGCACGCACAGATATAAAAAGCCCTAGGTCTAGGCCCTTCGAAGGAAAATTAATCAATTTAGGAGCATTATTTATAATTTAAATATTGATCTTCTGACATTAGTGGATGACTGGATTCCCAAATACTGATCAATGACGAACATTATTCCTGCAGTATAGAATATAGATTCATCAGCAAATTAAATCTCTGACTTGATATATCTGTATCTGTGTAACACATATTATGATTCCGCTGGCTAGCATGGGCACATATATATGTATATATAGTTTCTGGCTCTATAAATTTGTTCTATGCACTGCACGTGTCACCGGTTACTACTAGCTACTATCTATGTATGCTCCCTAATTATATGATCGGTATGACATATATGGGGCATTGAGTGTGTATATTCTAAGCAATGTATGTTTTCAAAAACTATCTGCAATAAATCGACTATGATCTTTAGGAAACGCCCAGGCTATGTATAGCATGCATCCTTAAAAATTGAGGTACGAAAAACATATATTTTGATATAAACTTCTTTCGAGAACTTTGTGTTTTGCAGTGTAAGGTGAGCGTAGTAATTAATCTCGCTGATGAAACAATTATATGTTCAGAAAATAGATCACCAAACGGCCAGCATAGACCTAAGGATTGAAACAGAATTGTTTGATCGATCACATATATAGAACACCTATAGGTATATTCTTCCAAAGCAATGTCAATTTATTATTTTCCGAGCACGACAAGATCACATCTTAATTAGTTAAGAAGAGTGATCCAATCTAGGTTTGCAAAAACTTAATTTTTCTAAGTTCTAATAACAGAAGCGAAAATGATAGGGTGAATATTATATTGACATGATGCTCTGATGCCACATATATATCGACCATTTGTTTTACAATATTATGATATATGTGGGCACTATTGGATCATATTTAAATATTGTCAAGCCTAAATAGTTTTTTTTTCATCCTTAAGATTCATAACCTCTCCTCCACGTTACATGAATGTGTGATTGGCACTTTTGAGTTCGTATCTCTTAAAATAACTTTGATAAAATAAGAATAGAGGGATAGGCACACAAAAAATATAATATAGTGACGTTATATTTAGAAAAATCACACGTTAGAAGTAACTATACTCTTTTTTTTTTTTTAAGGAAAAAAAATCTATCTCCCTTCTTACTTCACGAAGCCACATAGTTCAAGAGATATCGAAAATACGAAAATTTTAATCATGAGAGTGTCATGATGAATAACGCATTGCTTCAGTGCTTCTTAATTTATGGGCCATCTCAAGTGTTAGTGTACTCATAGAATAGCAAAACTATATAGATAAAACTTTCTTTATATCTTTTCAAATATTCATTTCATGATGCCACAACAATGCCATACAACGATAAAAAGGAAAGCTGAACAAGAAATCAAACGGATATTAATATCAATATCAGTATATAACTCCTCTGTTCCCCTTCACTCTCAATATAATGAGGAATTTCAAGATATGATCTGAAACCATCAAGACTAGGCATCCAAAAGTAAAGATGCTGGTTTAAGTCGTTTGAAAATTATGGCAACCAAGCTGTTATTACTTGCTGATCTAATGGAATAGATTTTGACGTCACAGTAATTTTAATTGGGAACAAACTCTTTCTCAACAAATTGTGATTAATTAACACGTTCATTTGAATATTTACTGGACATATACGCGCGAACAGAGACGAATACAAATATGCATATGTCATTTAATTAGGTTTTTTTTAGCAAAATATTTTTTAATTAGTTGAGAGATAATATATGTGAGGAACCTAACCACCAATTTCCAATAATAATTTAAGGGACGTGCAATATTACGCCAAGTCGTGTAAGGGACCAAAAAATTAAAGATAGATTAGGTTGGGACCAAAAATATTGCATACAAGGCTACAGATTGAAAGCCTAATTAAGAGTCAGGGGCAATATGCATATCTTATATGCAAATCATGACATAAAATATTTATTAATGCATTTTGCAGATGATTCCAACATAACTGTAATATCAATATCATACGAGCATGCTGCGGCTAGCTAGCACAATAAATTGGCTCTTTAAAGCATATCGTCATTTGAAGAAGAAGAAAAAATCTTTGCCGGTGACTTCCTAATTGCACTCAATACTTTCTCATCTCTCCCATTAAGTAGAAACTTCGTCTTGTCAAAAAGAAAAGAAAAGAAAATGTTTTCATTGGGCCATGGTCATCGTGGCCCCATTGCGCAGATGTCATAGCTCCAAAAAAATTTGAAATTCTCGTACTTTCAGTTTCAGATTATTTTGGCTCCTTGATTGCACTACTTCAACGTGCAAACCGCCACCGATTTCCCCAGTGTGCTCCCTCCCAAACCTCCGAAGAGCTCCATTCATCCTGACTATGCGAATTTTCTCGAGCTCCGCTCTTCTCTGGTTTCTCTATAGAAGATTGAGTGATTGACTGTTCATGTTCACGATATCCGGCTCGCCCAAGTCCCACTCTTTCTCAGATTTTTGCGGTGCCTGCTATTTTTGGTGTTCATTGTTTCATGCATCTGGGTTTGCTTGTTTTTCTCTCTCAAATCTCTAGGATAAAATATTTCCATTTGGATCTTCTGCAATCCCACAAGTCCTGAGCTTGAGCTTCTTAGCTCATGCTTCGGATATTTGCGTTTCAGCATTCGCATGTCATCCAACACATGTCAAACCTGGTGATACTGCATGGCATTATTAAATGATGCATTCTCGTGATTTCTCAAACCTGATTTGGACTAAATACTGGTGCCTGCGATGATGCTTCCTTTTTCCGTGTTGATTGTGTGGGGGCTTCAGAGTTGTTCAGTCTATCTGCAATGGAAGATAACGATGGACGATTGAAAACTGAGACAATGAGTGCTTTAGAAAGGATCATTTCATTGAGTCGGGCCGCATGGCTCAATCGTAGGGCTATGATTAATAGCCCAAAAGTAAATCGATTCGGATGGGTCTCGCGGTGGTTTCAAGTGCTCGTGATTATTGGGTTTGTTTTTTCATTCTTTGGAGCCATTGGCGGTGGATACATTCACGTCCTTCCTAGCCTTAGCCGACCGTTTTTTCAAAGGCAAGGTCTCTTTAATCATGAAGAATCACAAGGAGATTGTGACGTTTCGAATGGAAGCTGGGTTCGGGTCCATTTTCGGGGTTACCCCTGGTACAATGCGTCAGAATGTCCTTTCGTAGAACAAGGATTCAATTGCTTAGCTAATGGACGGAGCGACGATGATTATCTTCATTGGAGGTGGAAACCAAAGAATTGTGATGTTCCATTGTTTGACGTCCGTAGTATTTTGGAGATGTTTCGAAGCAAAAGAATTGTTTTTGTCGGCGATTCAATGAGTAGAACACAGTGGGAATCACTGATTTGCATGTTGATGGCTGGGGTGGACGACAAAAACAGCGTTTATGAAGTTAATCAAAATAAGATAACAAAGCGTATTAGATTTTTAGGAGTTCGGTTCAGTTCCTTCAATTTCACCGTTGAATTCTTTCGCTCAGTTTTCTTGGTGCAACAAGGTCCTGGGCCTGATGATGCAACGGGGATGGTCAAATCAACACTAAAATTGGACACGATAGATGATATCAGTGATCAGTGGATAGATTCAGATGTTCTGATATTCAACACCGGGCATTGGTGGCTGCCGTCTAAGCTCTTTGAGACGTAAGTTGGAATGAACCTAACTGGCCTTTATTCATGAGTTCTGATAGATTTTATATACATTGATGATTGATTGCCACTCATTTGTGGTGTCAAGGACGTATATGCTACAGTTGCTTTTACATGTTATATAGATCAGAAATGTTTCCTCAAGGACAGCATCGTTTCCCCTTTCCTCAGCTTTACATCTGAACAAATGATACTCTTAGAATAGGCTCTCTGAACTTTCAGCTGACCGGGAAATATATCTAGTTGTTGTCTCTAAGCAAAATGTCTTGTAAAGTGCATGCAATTTGTCAGCAGCATAGACTGTGTTAGTGGAAACATAACTATAATCTGATCTTGAGTTTAACTGGGCTAAGGAGGAGGCAGGTTTTTGAATTTACCTTGCTACCAAAAGTCTAGAAATATATTACTAGAAAATGAAAGGGTGAGGTGGGATATAATTTTCATCCCGGATATATTTAATAGCCAGCCTTGTTGAAAAGTGAAAACGAAGGGAAAAAATACTTGCAGATAATACTGCAATAGGAAGGGGTGGGAAACGCTTTACATTCCCACCGTATCTAATGATCAACCTTTGCTCAGAAACATAGTCAGAAATAAAATTGTGGTTACATAACATTCAATGAACAACTATTTAGTGGAAGTATCAATTTCTGTGTAAGACGCATGACTTTTTGAGTTTCATTTGCTGGGATCAGTATGGTTTCTAAATTTGTATTGTGTAGAGGTGAGTAAAAAGGTTTTCATCTATATTCAACAGGGGTTGTTATTTCCAGGTTGGAAGCTCACTGAAACTTGGAATGTCAATTCCTGCGGCCTTCAGACTGGCTCTTGACACTTGGTCATCATGGATTGATAGAAATATCAACAAAAGCAGAACACGTGTCTTCTTTAGGACTTTTGAGCCATCTCACTGGAGGTATCGTGGCATTATTACAAACACGATGCTCTTTTTTAACCTCTTACACTTCCACTGCCATTTTATGTGGCGTTTTTGCTCAGTTTAATCAAACTTTCTATTCATGCACGTGATTACGTTTCTAATCTTCTAATTTGTTGCTTGCTTGGTGTTCACTATGATTTATCTCACAGGATTCAATCTTTGATGGTTAAAACCTGCTCTCTTCAACTTCACTGATATAGTTTTCTTGTCTGAATCAGTGATGAAACCCGTAGGACTTGCAGTGTGTCCCAATACCCCACTTTTGAAACTGATGGAAAGGACAAGAACTTGTTTTCCAACATAGTTCTGGAAGTGGTTAAGAATGTCACAGTTCCCATAAATGTTCTCCATGTCACTTTTATGTTGGCTTTCCGGAGTGATGCACATGTTGGTAACTGGAGTGACAACCCATTGTTCCCTGATTGTAGCCACTGGTGCCTACCTGGAGTACCTGATGTGTGGAATGAAATTGTCCTCTCCCAGCTATTTACTCATAATATTAATCAGCAATCTGAACTAGACGGTGAGTTGAATCAAATTCATTTTCTTTCTAGTCTTTTATTTCTATTGTCTGGGGGGTATCTGGCATGATTGTAGATTTGTAGTGTTCTCAAGTTCTGTTCTTTCTTTCTTCTTCTTTTTGCTTTATAATGCTCTTGTCGTTTTTAGTGTAGACTTCCTTTTCACAATTTTAATCCTTGAATGCAGATTAGCGACACAGGCCTTCTCAAAATTGTGTTTAGCAGCATACATCGAGCAATCCCGATTTGAACCAGATCTCTATCCAAGCTAACACCATTTAACAGGAGTCATCTCCGATTAGTGATTGTTGACCTCTGTCTTCAGCGAGGCTATTCTGAAATGCCTAAGATGGTATTAGGTTCTCAAAGGTAACAGAAAGTTGTTCTTTTGATTCTTTGTTCAATTCTTCATAGCACATAACGGTAAGGAAGCATGTGTAAGACTGATATGTAAGTTCCTGTCTGCATGTCATGACCAATGGCTTTGTTCTCGAATCTCGACAGTACACAGAAAAGAGAATTGTCAATACAAAATAATCAATCGCAGTTCCTTTTCTCGTGCTGTCCTGACAGTCCTGTTTGGCATATGGACTTTCAGACAACAATTAGATGCCTCTGAGCTAAAGAAGATACTGCTTATCGCATGAAATTAACTGTTGATTTGTCAATTTCTAATTTATAAACCTTCGCGACAATAGAAAAATGATACAAGCATTCATCTATATATAATAGCCTCGTATGACCGAAAGAAGGCTGGATTGCATGGTTCCCTGTATCAATATCATTCCAAAAATTTGATATGGAATTTTTTCTTCTTCTATACATCCAAGGTAAGAAGACACACGCGGACACTCTAACTTCATTTTGGGGCTGTTCAGGGCAAGTTCATAACCACCACCACTCTCAGGTCACTAATCAACTGCTATAAACTTTTTGTCGCCTTTGTTTCCATCGGTGATCTCTATTCTTCTAAAAACAGAGTGAAAACTCAACCAGATGAACAGAAGAAAAGTATTTGACTATGAACAGAGCCATTCGTCAATCACACTGCTCACAATCATCAGTCATTTCAGGCTTACTAATTTGAAAAGATATTTCGTGAACAATCTGCACCAGTGGAAGAGAAAGGTCACCTTGGTAGAATTTATGAAATCCTCCAGCAATGTTTATCCAGCTATAACCAGGAGCTTTAACTAAATCCAAGTCCCTCAACTTCGCTCTAATACTTGAAACGTCTTCAAGCATACCGTGAGTTTCATATATGCTACACAGTGCTATATAGTTGCTAGCATTATTTGGCTCTAAATGAAAAAGGTGATGAGCTGCAATTTCTCCAATTTTAACATCTTGTGCATCATGCAACCAGCAAGCAAGGCACCCCAAATACTTGTTGTGGCTGATGATTTCATACTTTCCAATATCTGAAGTGCGTCCACCAGATATCCACAGCGTCCCAAAAGATCCACTATGCAAGCATAGTGCTCCACACCGGGCTCAAATCCGTATTCTGAATGAACTGAGCTGAAAATTTGCATGCCTTGATCGACCAAACCTGAATGGCTACAACTAGCTAATATTGCTGTGAGTGTAACAGGATTTGGGGTGAACCCAACATCTATCATTTTCTTAAACAGATATAGAGATTCTTCTCCCTTTCCATGCATCCCATAACAAGATATCATAGTAGTCCAAGTAACCAGATTTACATCAGTTATGGTCTTGAAAACCTTTTCTGCATAATTCAGGCAACCACACTTTCCATACATGTCAATTAATGCATTCCAAACGGCAGCATCTGCACAAAGCATGAAACCTTTAACGACTTGACCGTGCACTTCTTTCCCTTTAATCAAGTCCCCTTCCCTTCCGCAAGCATTCAAAACGCTTGGAAATGTCATGGAATCAATTTTAACTTCATTCAAAATCATCCCCCTCAAACAATTCAAAGCATCCACGTACAAGCCAGTCCTTGCAAATGTTGAAATCATCAAATTCCAGACTACAGAATCCTTAAACGACATATCAGAAAACACACGCCTTGCCTCACTCATGACCCCGGATTTGGCATAAGATTCCAGCACGCAACTTCCAACAACGACATATTCCTCATATCCAAGCTTTATAACTAAAGCATGACATGTCTTACCAAGAGAAGTATCGCCTAATCCAGTAGAAGCCTTAAACAGCGAGGGCAAAGTATAATGATCAGGCCTAAGACCCAACCGCTGAAATTTACGGAAAACAGCTATAGCATCAGAATACATCGAATTATCGGCATACGAGGCAATAATGATGTTCCAAGAATGCATGTTTTTGTGGAGCATTCCATCGAAAACTTGGCGTGCATCGCGAAGAAACCCGCATCTAGAGTATACCAACAAGAGATCCGTTTGAAGAGTGACGTTGGGAAGTAAGCCTTGGAGCAGGATCTGGGCATGGCATTGCTTGGCTTGCGAGACAGCAGCGTGAGTGAGGCAGCTTCGAAGCAGAGAAGACAAGCAGAAGGAAGCTTTCTGAGACATACCATTTCGAAAAGTTTCAGATACTCGTGTTGCTGGCACGACAAGGAGGGAACGGGGGAAAACAATCCCCCGTTTGTTTTCATGCGAGTGGGAATTTGACCTTACAATTTATTTTTCAAATTTTGTAAAATAAAAAGTAATTGTCTAATTATATTTAAATTAAAACAAATTATGCAAAAGTAAACAGGAGTTACGTATATTGTATAAAATATGAAAAATAAAATGCAGTGTTTATGTTTTCATAAATACTACGTCCGGTCTTTAATATAAGACCTTGTTTAATTTTTATTTTAATCTTAAATATAAGACCTCAATCCACTTTTTTTTCTCATATTTATGTATTTTTTTCCAATATAGTTCTTCTAACAATGGTAATTTTAACTAATACATTTGATTAACAAGGATGTTTTAGGAAAGACAATATTTATTTATTATAAATAACTAATTTAACTTCTTTTATTAATCTCCTCAAATTAATTAACTAGTTTTTATAATTAAGAGCGGAGGTAGTAATACAAACCCTTGAATTTTGTAATATATTACTCCTCCGGTCTTTAATATAAGACCCATTTAACTAATTTGATTAGATTAAAGAAGTTATGTAAGTTAGTTAATTATAAGAAAAGTGACACATTTTTCCTAAAATACCATAATCATCTTTCTTAATACTCCCTCTCTCTTTTCTACTTGATTATAGTTGAGGGAATATCTATAGGGGTAATTTAGAGAAAATTGATAAATATAAGAAATGGGTTTTATATTTAGGACAAAACCAACTCATTAATTGGGTCCTATATTAAGGACCGGAAGAGTATATTGATAGCAACTTGAGAGGCGAAATCGACATCATGAGTAAAGTATTTGTACTTAGATCCAAGTAAAATTATATGAGAGTTGTGTACAGAATATAAGACAAGTTATTATTATGCTCATAATTTATAGATGATACTATGAACTAAATTTATATACATATATCTTGAAATTAATGGAGATTAATTTCGTCTAAATATAGGAAGAGAGGCAGGACCAACACCATGGGCATAAGTGCACAACAGCTACGGTTTACTGTAAGCCACCCAAAAAAAAAAAAAAAAATCTGCTCCGTCAATTGTAGAAAAAACTTTATCCTCAGGGTCACGTGGTATTGTTTTGATTAAATTAAATTAAAAAAGAATCACACTAATCTATATGAATTTGTTGTGGTGAAAACATTATATTCAATGTATAATTATCTATTATTAAATATATTATTCAAAATTTTGGCTATAGACATATACTATTTTTTATGCAAAATCAACTTAATAATTAAGTTTTATATTAAAAATCGAAAGAATATATATTTTTTTTTATGGATAAAAACAAAGCATTCTTACTTCACAAGAAACTTGACCCAAAACAAAAAGGCTGGTATTTATCCATCAAGGTTAAAAATGGCATAAAGTTGGAAAACAAGCAAACTCTGCGGGGCCCACTTAAATGTGCTTGATCTGTTTATACTTTTTTTTTTTTTTTGACCGGATCTGTTTATACTTTATAGTTTATACCTTGTAGTGGCTATGGAGGCTGAAGCTAGCTCAGCATTCTGTGGGCATAGTCCAAAAAACTTTAAAACAAAATAAAACTGGCGGGTCAAGTGGATTGGCTTAGCGCCTAGTTTATGCGTGAGGATGAGGGAATAATTAGGATCTTTTTGGAAGGAATATTTTTTATTCATTTATATATTTTATATCAATTAAATATATTACATATACCTTTAATAAAATTTAAAATCTGATATAATTATCATAATCATAATAATGTAATTTCTTAATCAACCTTTCTACTAGAATGATGATCTATTTTCTTTACTTATTTTATTTTTTGTAAATGTGAGAGTTACCCCCAGGAAGTATGTATAAATTACAATCTGGGATGTTTGCCAAACTATGGTCAAACCGGGGGAAAAAACACAACCTTTCCAGCCTAAATGTCTTAAAATTGATCTAGGTACTGGTCACATTAAAATTCTCTCATTTTCCTGTGACCTTCGTCAGTTCGTTTCCGCCTTTCCAGTTCCATAACTCTGGTGGAGTCAACACCAGGAAAAATGGGATTTTTAAGGTTCAAAGTTTTGCCCCAAACGTTTGGCACCAGCGCGTCAAATGTTGCCCATAGCTAACGCGAGACTGTGAGAGCTCCCTGAATTGAATATGCATTCACCACCTGGTTTATACTTAAACTGCCCATAATAATATGAATCCCACTGAATTTCATTACTACGTTCAAATATATATACCCATGATTTTATTACGTCCTCTTAAAACCTTCCTCGTCCGCCTCGTCTATCTTCATCTTCATCCTGCACATGTTTCATTTCATAAGGAATTCTTTATACCCCATCATGTGGGTGATGGACCTTGAGCGGAATTTTTGGGCAGAGAATCACATACTGAGGAGAGAGCCGTTCGCAGTTGAGAGTGCGAACAATGATGATATTGCCAGTGAGGTTTGCATTTTATCCGAAACATCTGATGATTTTTGCAATCACTCGGAGTCCTTTAAGAAGTTAGTAGAGATGGGTCTGCCTCTTGATGATTCTGTGGACGCAAAACTGGCATGGCTTCGATCTCAGATCATTGGTGACGACGCAGAGTTTGATTCGCCTTTTGGAAGACGACGAATTCTCTATGCTGATCATACGGCTTCCGGTCGCAGCCTTCATCACAGCGAAAATTTCATCACCCATCATCTCCTTCCCTTTTATGGTATGTAGACTTAAATCACGTCACAATTTTAATCGTGCACTCTTTAAAGTAACTTGTTAAGAATTCATATTATTGCTACTTTGTGGGGAAAAAACATTTCATTTTGAGTTATAACAGACTTCTCCCTATCTGTGATATAAATTACTGGTTTATGGCGCAGTTTTTGCTGTTGTTCAACTGAGAAGTATTATTGGTCAAAAAAGCTTTGTGTAAAACAAATTAGAAAACACAAAAAAAAAAAAAAAAGACAAACAGCTTTTGAGTTAAGGTCTAAGCCTGTTTTGCTTCTGTATAGGCAACACACATACATGCGACAGCTATGTCGGAAGTCGGACGACAAAAATGGTGCACGAAGCAACCGATTACATCAAGACATGTTTAGGCGGTGGACCGGATGACGCAATCATATTTTGTGGCTCCGGCGCCACGGCAGCCATCAAAAGGCTCCAAGAAGTGATGGGCATTGCTGTACCTTCGATCCTAAGGGACAGAGTTCTGAAAACCTTGAGCCCAGAAGAAAGATGGGTCGTCTTCGTTGGACCTCACGAGCACCATTCCAACCTCCTCTCATGGCGACAAAGCTTGGCCGAAGTAATAGAGATTGGCCTAGACGATGAGGGCTTGCTAGATATGGACTCGCTAAAGGTTAAACTTGAAGCATATAAAAATACCGGCCGACCCATATTGGGATCTTTCTCAGCTTGTAGCAATGTCACTGGAATCTACTCAGACACGCGAGCAATTGCTAGGCTTCTTCACCAGTGCAATGGCTTCGCATGTTTCGATTTCGCAGCAAGGTATTTGAAATTCTGTTTTTTTTTGGTGGATTGATTCTCTCTGTGTTGAAAAGTTTAAAACTCGAGATATTTTGGCTTTTTAGTGGTCCATACGTTGAAATTGACATGAGATCGGGACAGAGTGATGGGTATGATGCTGTGTTCCTCAGTGCACACAAGTTTCTGGGTGGTCCTGGTTCTCCTGGTGTACTATTGATGAGCAAGGCCCTTTATCGGCTGAGATCTTCACCGCCATCGACCTGTGGAGGTGGAACCGTGAGCTACGTCAATGGCTTCAATGAAAAGGTAATTCACAAAAATAATTCAAGGGGAAGCAGGGGCCATTTATGCATATAAGAATATAATTACCAGGAGATCTGAAAATCTGGAAATGTAAATGGGCGGGAAATTTAACTAATTTCACTGATAGGGAAATCCTGAACTATTCTGTGTAGAAATTAGAATTATGTAGCGTATTAATCTAGGTTTCCACAAATGACCTGAAATATTTTGATTATGATTCTTAACACCAGTCTTCCTCTGCATCTTGAATGTTTTCTTAAACAAACTTGGTGAATTCTTCTGGATCATTAATGCAGGATACATTATATTGGGAGAGCATAGAGGAAAGGGAAAATGGAGGAACCCCTCAAATAATCCAGACGGTGAGAGCGGCATTGGCGTTTTGGGTCAAAGAATACATAGGCTACGAGGAGATTGAAAACCGGGAACAATCCTTCATAAAAAAGGCACTTGAGAGGTTTCTCCCAAATCCAAACATTGAAGTTCTGGGAAACTTGAGCACCAAGAGGCAAGCTATATTGTCATTTCTGATCTATACAACCACCAATTCTTCATCGGTGGGTTGGAGAAATGAAGGGAAAGATACCAAGAAGGAAAAGGAAGGGGAGCTTAATCTATGGGCTGAGACTGGAAACAAAAGAGGCAAGCCTCTTAATGGTGCTTTCGTTGCCACTCTTCTGAATGACCTCTTTGGCATCCAAAGTCGAGGTGGGTGTGCTTGTGCTGGGCCCTATGGTCACACATTGCTCAACATCAACAAAAGTCACTCTCTCGCTATTAGATCAGCAGTTGAAGAGGTAAAAAACCTCACTCTTACCAAAAAATTTTAACTTCATAGTGCAAATCATTTGTTTGTAAAGGAAGTGTTTAATACTATGAACAGGGGTATGTTGGAGTGAAACCCGGATGGACTAGAGTCAGTTTTCCTTACTACATGAGCGAAGAGGATTTTGAGTTCATAATATCAGCCATGGAGTTTATAGCAGACTATGGCCAGCGATTCCTTCCCTTGTACAGCTTCAATTTGAGAAATGGAAGCTGGAAACTGAAGACAGAGGAACTTGGGAAGCTTGCAAAAGAAAACAACTGCAACTTTTGTATTCATTTGTTGGAAAAGGAAGGGACAGCTAGAAGGAATGCGTCTTACTTTGAAGCAGCTATCCGTATGGCTGATCGGCTCCCAAAGTTCCCAGCTCAGAGTATACTTCCGGGGAACATAGATCCCAGTGTCCTTCATTTCAGGGTTTAATTTCTTTTTAATTTTGGCCTATACTCCATAAAAACTTTGTAAATCTACAGAAATTTGTTGGTATTCAATACTCTCTTTACTGGAGGAGCATCATCATCCTCTGTTTCTTAATTCTTGAAATGATGAGACAGGAAATAAAAGAATGCTCTTTCGGCCAATGGTCTTACTCCTCTATTCATTCGAGTTAAATCGTAATTTAGTCCCGAGAGATGTAAATCTCTCACAACCGAACCACGATCACAGTCATCGCAAAAAAATCAGCAAGATTAAAATAAATATATAAATAAAACAATGCTTTGAGCAAAAGGACTCCCATTTCTGCTACTTATTTCCTTCTTCGCCATTAAGGCATCTTTGGAGTACTCCCCGGGGCTCCACCGGTATTTCTTATGCTCAGATTTTTGTTTTCCCCCGCCCAATGTGTGCTTCTTGTTTTGCCTTCATAATACTTCGCGGCTGAATGAAGTCAAAGAATCATATTTTGCAATAAACATTTGTTTTGGCCCTCTGTTTTCCCTTCAAATTCTGAAGACACAGGAGCTGCTAGGTAAGCTTTCCAGGGAAGAAAGTTGCATTTCATATTCAGTTGTTGGAATGATACTGCGAGGAGGAATACATATACTTCGGTGCGACTAAATGTATGGCTAATCATCTCCTACGGCCCTTTGCGAGATGGAAAATTTATACTCCCCCTTATCCCATGTATTGGTGGTATTGCATGTTAGCCAATAGTCACTTAAAATTATTTAAAACCATTTATGCCAAAAAGATGTCACATTTTAAAATTAGTTTGAAGAATTTTAAGATAGTAAATCTTCGCGCCCCAAATTAAATTTATTAATTCTAAGATTTTCAGAATAAATTCAAATCATAAAAATGTTACTATAAATATAAACAGTTTTCACTTCAAATCAGGAACTATATTAAAAAAAAAAAAAGGGAAAACACATACACGGGTCCTTCCAATTTCTTCTAATTTTGAATCAGGTCCCTGGATTTTTTTTCTTTTTATTAACTCCTTATACTTTAAACCGTTAGAGGTATCCATCCTTGAAGATTAATACTGTTAATAAATAAATAACAGAAGTTATAATACTGTTTATTATAAGTGAGGTGGCAGGTGACTAGTATACAGGTGGATAAGCAAGTCCAACTAGGCTGTGATTGGACACCCCCTGTTAGTGTGAGAGAAAAAATCGGTTTAGATGCACATATTTGCCTATGGCGTTACATTAAGGTAGAGTCTTCAAGTTCGGTGCATACGAGGCAAGGAGGAAGAGAAGTTCGCCGAGCAACGCCATCGTGTAGGGTGGTTCTTCAAGTCTTCGAATTCAAACACGCTCTCACTTTCTCACATGAGGCAAGCAGCGCATGTGTGGCTCTGGTTGCTTGGATTCACGATCTTCTTTTCTGGTCATGCCTTCCCAACAGTATGAAACTCTTCCATAGTAGAAACCATCTTCTCACATTAACACTTTTTCATAAATTCCAATGAAAATTGCATGCCAGTACGGATATAAATTCCTAACTTAAAGGCCAAAGAATGCTGTGTTGCTCTGTTTTTCAAGGAGAAACTGTAAACTTTGTTTGGATGCTGAAAAGAAGATTTTTATATCCCTTCTTATAACAGTAAGCGCAAACCACAAAGAATCTGGAAATTTTATGTTTTCCGCTTTGTTTTCTCATTACTGCAAAGGGCGCCAATAGTGAAAAATTGCTTAAATTTCCATTTATTTTTCACTCTGTTTTTGTGGAAAATATTGCAAACTCTGTTTGGATGCTGAGAAAGTGTTCAGACAATACTACAAAAGCACGAAGAGTTTGACTGTTATGATGGGTTTTGGGTATTTTCTTAGCATCCAAGCAGAGGGCAAGAGAAACAATGATTTGAATGAGAAATTACAGGCCAAAAAACATTAAAAAAAAAAAATAACAGTTCGCGTGTCTGGAGAAACATTTCCAAGTTATGGAATGACTTGAGTATAGCTCGCGTCTTGGTGATGGTGAACTAATATTTTGGAAGGAGTCATGGGTATGATCTGTTGTGTTGTAGTTTGGCTGTAAAATTCGAAGCCCGTTATTCTCTTGAAATGCTACTTTTTTCCTAAAGGTGAAGCAGCTTGCTTGTTTATTTCTCAAAGTCAAAAGCCCATGTCGCCACGTATTGATCCACCTAGCTGTCAGACTTCTCCCATCAACGCCGTTAATGTTTTGCCTAACGGAAGGATGGATGCCTCAAACAATGTAAATTATAAGGATTTAATAAAAAAAAAAAAAGTTTAGGGACCTGATTCAAAATGTAATAAAACTATAAGGATCTGCATATTAGTTTTCCCAAAAAAAAACAGAGAGAACACTTGAGATACTCGCATAGAATCAACCCGGCAAAATCGTGTATTTATGATTAAGGGCTTGAAGGACCCCGAAATTAGATCTGGTTACAATTAAACGACCCTTAAAATTTTCCTTATTGAAGCGGCACACTGATCTGATCTCACGTTATTTCTAGTTTTCTTCTAGAACCACATATACATTCTGGGTACGGATTTTCGTAAAAAGACTCTTCAGTCCTAAAGCGTGCTCGTCCTTTAACTCCAGGCAGGGAACCATGCCTTTTCCTTGGAGCTCCTTGCCTATAAATTTGATGCCAAAAGGAAAAAGCAATAAGCAAGATCTTTCAATCTCAGTAACTTGCAAAATGAAGTCAGATTGAGGGAGAGAAGGGGAAAAGAGACATGCTGAAAACTTGGAGGAAAACCATGCCATGAGCTACTTTGAATTTCCAAGTTCAAACCACGAAGGAGGGAAAGGGAGAAAGGCCCGCACCCCCCCCCCCCCCAATAAACAAAAAATGAGCTCTAAGCCGTTACCTGCTCTTGTGCATCCGCTGCACCAGATTTGAAAGTGACGGTCCTTCATCCAGCTCTCCAGTTTCCATCTTATCAAAAATTTCAACAAGCCCTTTCCTGAAAATTAAGTGGACGACAGCATGAAAATTTGACAAAGAAGAATCGATCCCCCAAATTATAGATGCATTTTCTCTTGAAACGTTGAGATCATCAGAAACTCCAGAAATATTTACTCACAGAACTCAGTAAAATCCTAAATGTAATAGCAGGTGTGTAAACTTTTCAAGATTGGTGTGATTTACACTGCAGCCTTGTTGGCAGCAGGCAATACCTAACTGATTGTATCAGAAGAAGCCAAAGAAAACAGAAATAGTTGAGCAATAGGAAATAAAAACAAGAAAATGATGATGATTAAAAGAAAGGAAATAAAAACAAGACTAGCAAGTCGTAGAGGTGATTGAATGGATTGTTTTACCAACAGTGCCAAGAAAGCTGATTGTTAATTTATTTAATTTCCTGAAATAATACCTATCTGGGTTGATTGTCTTGCGGTGACCTAAGAACCTACGGTGTCCCTCTACAGCTCTTGCCATATTTCCTGAATGTGATGGAACAAACACATCACTCTCCACAGAGACCATGTAATCCAGTGCAGCAGTCTGAGATGCATGATTGCTGAATGCTTTCAATTCCTCAGGGGTTGCAAGAGATTCCTGTGATCGTTGTCCAATCTATTAGTTAGTTCACCAATATACCACACAAGCAGACTGTGGGCCATTTAACTATCCATTAACATATACAAGACTATTCACAGACCTTAAAAATCAGATCAGGGAAGCGCGCTGAGAGCTCTGAAAGATGAGTATTACCACCATAGATCTCCCCAGCTGCAATGTATATCTGCGTTGATGTTGGATAACCAAGAGCTTGAAGAAAAATCCCGACCTCCTTTGGAGTTAGTGGACAAAATCCTCCACTTCTCTGTTCTGTTGCATTTATCTTTTTCACCTTCCAATGATTTGTGTTCTCTCTATAAAAAATTGAAATGAAGTTAAAAATAAAGATCAGCTGAATAATTACAAGTGTGGCTTCTGGAATTATACATGTCTCACTTACAGTAGGTATATATTACTATTCTCACCTCATTATTCTCAGCTCTTCAGATTCTGCATCTGTCAGACCATAGGTACAACCAGTAAAAGACAACATATCTTTCTCATATCTCAGATGAAGAGCAATATATCTTCCCCCACGTGATCGCAGCCGCTCCACCAACCTCTGTTTTTTCACCGTCATGCATGCTCAGAACCTAATTTACCAGGAAGCCCCATGTAGACCTCTTTAAATGCATTAACAGTGAAGGATATGGCAATCCTGGGATCATATGCCTCATTTTCTAGCTAATGTAATGGAAAACTATGCAAGTTTTAAACTCAAGGCTTCAATCTAATGACTGTTCATCATTCCACATGATTGAATAATCGCATATAAATAATTATAACCTATTTAACAAACAATATCCAAGAACTTAAAATTAGTCACTAAATCTCACCCCAATGTTCAAATTATATGTTTAAGATGCTAGAAATTGCACCCCAGGGGGGGATTAGAAAATCAAACCTTTCCTAAAGTCTCAATTGGAGGAGAAAATCGAAGTGCCCGATAAAGCGCACGGCATCTCAACCTCTGAATGTCAAGAGGAAGATCATTGTTTGCAAGTCGAGAATCTGATTTCGCAACATGTATCACCTGCAGTATTGATTCAATGCCTTATTCGGACAACTATACCATGAAATGGGGTCCATACTCCATTGCCATGAAATAAATTATAAGGATCCTTAAAGGTACAATGACATGAAATTAAACACCCAATCACCCGCTGAACATAAAAATAACGGTAAATATCTTCCATTAAGTTTTTGCGTGAGTAGATACAAGTAACCGTACTGACACTGCATGTATATAACAAATCCAATAAACCTCATTACTAGTTTTCACAAACAATACCATTATAAATTGTACTTTGATGAAGCCAGCAGACCAGTGGACCAAGCATATGCTAGGAATGGTGTCCAAGTCCATCCCCAAAGGAATGGGGTAGGGTATACACTAGGAAGAAGGCCACCAAAGCCTCCAGACCCAGGATAGCATGGGAAGGCAAGCTGAGGGCACTTAATTGTCTTTTTTCTGAAGAGAGAGCGATTGGGGCAGGGAGTATCTTTTAAGGGTCTGGACCAGTAGTGTGGGTAAGGAAACTGCTAGCTTCAGTGAGGAGACAGGAGACAGCCTGACCTCTTGAAAGTCAGGTTCAGGAGTCTTTAATTATTTGCTCTGTGTGTTATTTTCAGTATTTTCAGCGTTGTTTCATAGTGTCATCGACCTTAGCTCAGAGAAATAGGTTCATTTTGTGATTTTCCACTTTCCATTCTATAGCAAAGAGGCATAATAGATTCCCTAGCTAAATAATATATCAGTGTTTTTCAAGTTTTCACTACTTTATCGATGGAAGTGTTAGTACCTGATAGTCATTCCACAACCTTTTCATCTCTTCATAGTAAGCCACACCAGACCACAACGTGAAGTGTTTTCTGGCCCGGGGGACAGTTTCCAAGTTCTTGGGAAGTTCCTTGACAACTCTGACATCTCCTTTCAGGGATTCTATGAAATGAAGCTCATCAAATATATCTGAAAATACACTGTGCACAAACTCAAGTTAAAAAACATCTACTAGCAAAGGAGACGACGGGCATCAAAGGAGTTCACATCACATGACAGAAATTTATTGAATGTGTACCGAGAAGTACCTAGAATCTCGCCAGAATGACCGTTTATCCAATTGTGGGATGACTAGAGTTGCATTCATCATATGTGCCACAGCCACCATGTCTGCTATCTACAGGGAAAAGATTTGGTGCTTAAGTCAAATAATAATATAAATAAAAATAAAACTATGATGCAGAACAGAAGTTCAGCTTTAGACTTGGTGCTCTTTAGCCCAAAGAAAGACATCATCAATGTCAGCCAAAACCCTTCGGGGAAATTGCATTATTGGTAACCAAAGAAGTACCCCTAAGACGAATGGGGTACCAAAAAGTTCATATAGTAACTCTTGCACAATATTTATGTACAAATCATCACTTAAATTATCCGTCCCACACAAAATTATAGGGCATAAGAATAATAATTTAGCTTTGATATGAAATTTAGAAGACATTGCAGGAGAGAAGGCGACTTACACCAGTTCGCATTTGATTTAGTCCCCCATTACTTCTAACAGTTAGATAACGATCAAAACCTTGGGCACCTGACACAATGAAGCAGATTAAAGGGGGAGGAAGAACGTTAACACGCACTAATCTATAATAGCATAAGTATGCTCAAGTTAACAAGAATGAGAAAACTAAAGGTTTGAAGAAGAAGAAAAGAAAACATAATTCATAAATCTATCCAGAAAATAAAAGGGAGAACACGCCAGAGAAACAAGAAAAAATAATGCAGAATCTATTACATATATGTTAGCATCTAAAACCTTTATATTTAGCTGTTGGCTTGACACAAAGATGTAGACCATGACTATTAGGAGGGTCCCACAGTTGGCCATCAGGCACCTGTAGCGTTTGTACCTGTATTGTAACAAAAATGAAATGACCGCAATGGATAACAAGAGTGGACTAGAACAAGGGAAGTGAACTGCTAGTTGACAAACAAATCTGCTAATACTGTACGACAACCTCAAAAGTCAAAATATAGAAACTCCTTACCCTTGAATACATAAATCTAAAATTCCTATGTAAACATTTTATCTCAAAAAATGGTTTCCAAGTGACTTAGTAGTTCCAAACGAATACACTTTAGTCAGATTCTGTGTGTGTGTGTAAGTGTTGCTCTAAGTTCATAAACTTTTTGAGGGTGGGAGTTGCCCAGAAGCTCGCATATGTACATCAGCAATGTCATCATAGAATAGAATTTATCACACGAGCCATGGTTTGCAACATTCATCAAACACGTCAACTACTGGTTGATAGTCAAAAACCAAGAACATAGGGCCGCTTAAGCAAAATCCTTTTCCTCTACATAATGCGCCTTAGCAAAAGTCCGCACATCGCTAATTTATTAAATTCCGCCTGAGTTTCCAATGAAACTCGAACGCCACCATATGTTATGAGCACAATAACCAGCATCCACAGAAAATAGCAGATGATGCTTTAAAAAAAATGAACAGATCAATCCAGCAGCGAAGAAATTCCTTCCAAACATTCACTAACTTCACCTAAAACAAAGCCAACTTTTCGTTTTTTATTCTTCCAAACAATAAAGACAATTTAAAATCACACCCAATAAAGAAAGAAAGAGATGTAAACGCCCATACTTGCCCGGATCGAGATTCGACCGAAAGCAAAGGCTGTGATTCATCTCCGCTGATATTCCTGAGGTGAAACAGGAATACTGAGAGGGAGATAAGAATGAAGAAAATGGTGTATAGCGTAAAAATGCCGATAGGAAACTTTCTTGGCCGAATTCTGCCCGCCAAATGGTTGTAGAGTTGTAGGAACCTCTGTTCACCATCTCAACTATAGATCTCTAGCATCAGCTCTTTCTATTCTGCAAATCCCTCCATAAGTAGTATTAGCTTACAAATATGCACGTAGAGGTAGCATGGGAGTGACCGTTCTGGTGCGGTGAGGAAATTCGCCCGATGGCCGATTGGAGCAGAAGATTAGCAGTGAATCATGAACACGGAGACCACCATTTTCTGTTATTTTTTTATGGCTAAATACCCAAAAGCAACCCTTTTGTCCCGCGGTAACCTGTAATAATTTGCATGATATTTTAAAATTTGATAACGTGGATTTTAAAGTTGAAACTGAGTGTTTCTTTTTTGTTTCCCAAGATTGCAAGGGATTATTTGTATTTTGCACGCATTTCAGCTTTTTAAATACATATTATCCGAAAAATGATAATTATTGAATGAAAACAATACATAAAAGTTTTATAATATGGATCAAAACGTAATGTATATTTTTAATTTTATTCGGTTCCTTAAATTTATAAAATATCTTTTAAGTTATTTAATTTTAATATTGTCAGTCTAAATTAATATTTGTTGTGTCAATTATAATTATTTTTAAAAAAATAAACATAATTTGGATATTGTGTATATATTTGAAAATTTAATATTAGTATTTTTTTTAATGAAACAAATGATACTACTATATGAGGTTAGATAAATGAAAAATAATTTATAAAATTAAAATATTAACAGAAAAATTTCAAAAAAAATAACTCTTGAATATCAAAATTTTCAATAAAAAATTATTATAAAAATGTATTGGTATTTTCTTTTCAGACATTGTCAATTGCTATTAAAATATAGTAATAAATAAGATTGATTTGAAAATTTGAAATCTACAAAACATTGGGATTTTTTTTCATATTAAAACAAACATTTATATAGATTTAAAATATTAAAATTACACTTTTACTGACAGGAGAAGAAGTATTAGGACACTAAATGTTAATATTTTTTAGTTCTTACATTTTTTTTCTAAAAACAAAAAAAAATCCTTTTCACAGAGAGCATGGAGATACAGGGAACTAGGCCGAAAACGAACCCGTCTCCAAAGCCCAGGCTGCATTAATGGCTACATGAGATTGTCCAAATGAAAAGACAGCCCCAAAGTTGATTTAGGCCCCGATTTGAATTTCAATTGTCCGAGTATTCCCCTGCCACAGGAAATTGACAGAGGCCAATGCCTCAAAAAACACAGCCGTACATGGTACGAGCTGCCGCCTGCAACATTCCATTTCAGTTGCTTCTACTGCAAGCTGGCAAATATTATCCGACGTCCGAGTAGCTTTGTTTGCGACCAACACCAAGAACTGAGATTGGCATTAATCAAATTATTCCATTTGGACAGCAATGGTACAGAGATGAAGACTTTTTCCTCGTAACATTCACCCATCAGATTTTGTCAACTTCATTGCGCTAAAACTGAAGAGAAACAGCTTTTAACATTTAAACCAACACCTCTCGTACCTGGACTAGGTGGTACAGGTTCATTTGAGCATCCCAAAGATGACCCACTGCCAGCATCGTCCCTTGCTCGTCTTCATTGCTCACGCATTTTCACTCCTATTTCCTCAATCTTCTGGTTCGCTCGTCTTTTCCTTGTCTTTAAACTTCAGGAAACTTCACGTTCTTCCCGGAAGTTACCACAAACAGTGATGTCATATCATTTTTGGTACCATAGTAATTCGGAGATTTTTCAAGCGTTTGGCATGAACTAATTGATCCTTAATTAATGTTTCAGATGGGAAGGTAATGATGGAGTACATAGGAGCAACTGGGGCCCCTGTAACGTTCGATCTTGTTCCCGTTGAAGAAGGCATTGATTTCCACTTCATCCTCAGTTTCGCAATTGATGCAGACCTTTCTGGGAATGCCCAGAACGGCAAATTTTCTCCATATTGGGCAGAAACATTGACCCCAGATTCTGTCGCAGCCATCAAGGCGCGACGCTCCAACGTCAAAGTCTTGGCCAGTCTTGCTGGATGGAGCCTACGAGACAAAGTCATACGCTGGTACGACCCAACAGATCCTCATCTCTGGGTTTCAAATGCTTTCTCGTCCTTAAAATCCCCAGCAACCACTTACCACCTTGATGGCATCGACATTGACTACGAAAAATTCCCAACACAACGCAACTACACTACTTTCGCTTTCTGCATTGGCCAGCTCATCACCCTCTTGAAGAACCAGAGTGTTATTTCCGTGGCCACCATTGCTCCTTACCATCTCACCGCTGTTCCTTACATTGAACTATTCAAAGATTACAACAACGTTATAGATTATGTAAATCACCAGTTCTATACGGATAAAGTTCTGACTCCTTTGCGCTACCTGGAGGATTTCAAGATTCGAGCTTTACAATTTGACAAGAATAAGTTGCTTCCAAGCTATGAAGTTAATGGAAGAGGAATTCAAGGAGATGAGTTCTTTGCGACTTTAAGCCTTTTGGAACAACATGGGTTTGAAGTCAACGGTGTGATGATTTTCTCGGCGGATGCTAGCTCCGCCGCGGCCAATAACTACTATTATGAGAGAAAATCGCAAGAATTCTTGCTCAACACTACTAATGTATGAAACAGTTTGGGTTTGTATCCTCCACCGCGTGGCATTGAGATGAATAATTACAATTACTACTATTATTCTCGCTTGTTTTCCTTTGACGCTTACAAGGTTGACATTATCCCGTCTTCTCAGGTTGCGTTTATGTGATACTCTCTCTTATAATCTTTAAATCACTTCATAACACCCAAAAACATACTATATCCTGTACTTAATATAAGAGTTAATTTGATTTTTATTTTGATCATAAATATAAGATCCTAATCCACTTTGTTTCTCATGTTTATAAATTTTTTTCTAAGACAGTCCTTTTAATAATAGTAATTATAGTCAATACACTTGATTGGTAACGATATTTTAGGAAAAATAATACATATTTAGTATAAAGAACTGACTTAGCTTATTTTCTTCATCTCTTCAAATTAGTTAACCAGTTTTTATAATTAACACCAGAAATAGTACGTTTTAATATTTTAGAACATGCGTAGTTTAATTAGCTTTGATTTCAACCTCTCTAAATATTCTTGTTTATCATTTCCAAGATTATCTAAATGGTGAAAATATAATCTGCTCCCTCATGAATTATATTTTTATTCGTTATTTTGTTAATTTTCAGTAATATGCGAGTTATGAATAAACGAGTGATAAATCCAACATTTTTAATTGAAGTGATGTACTTTTAGGATTTAAGAATAAATAATTAAAAAATACATTATATCACATATGCATATATTTAACATTTCTTAATCTGATGAATAAAATGTGAGTTCAAAGAACAAAAGCACGTCTCCCACCATAACTATCATCACAGCATAAGAATACAAATTAAATTGATATTATTAGATCCCGGTTGCCTTTTTTTTTTTTTCATGTTAGCGGGCTTAATCTGAATATTCTTTAATTGTTAAAACATCTATCCACAACAGAAAGACAGGCAAACATACAAAAAAAAAAAAAGGTAACAAAATCTCTCATTGCACATGTAAATTTTAAAATTCCACTTAATCTTTTTACCTAGATTCTCCAATTATTGGAGAGGACTTGTATTCAAAGAAAACGCTTGCCTTTTTTTGGTTTTTGGCTTAAAACTTCGAAGGATGCTTCAACTTAAATTTAACTTCGCTTTGGGGAAAAAAACTTAAATCTAACTTATTTTGGAATTGGAGGGAAATAGAGTGTGCCCCACGCCAGTAGAAGTGCGCAGCTTACAGTTAAGCGCATCTTTGCGGTATTTTTATTTTTTATTTTAAAATTTTGGGTCTTAATTTTCCTCCATTGTATTGGACCTTCGGCGTCCTTCTCTCTCTAACAAGGTAACGACGACGACCACCACCCGCCACCTCCATGAAACGCCGTCGCTTACGAGGAGCATCGGAGATCCATTTCTACATTTGATTCATTTACACGCTATTTTATCCATAGGATCAGATTCATATTTTCCTCCGTGCTCACTTCATTTCTCGAATTCAAGCTGTTTTGGAATTTCCAGAGGACTTTCCCTGTTAATTATCGTATAGTTGCTGCATTCGGTTTGTAATTTGCCCAGGTATAGCGGAAATTTTCGCTTGCTATTAAGGGCTCCTGCTCAATACATATGTTCCCAGACTTTACAGTAGATGTTTCATTCAGATAAGTGACCAGAGTTGTAATATAGATTTGTAGGGGGATTAGGGTTTTTTGCCTTTTAGAGGAGATTTTTAGGATTTATAAAGTTTATATTGAAAGACTAGTGAGCTTTAGCTGGTGATTCAATTAAAATTAAGGTGCTTTTTGCAGCAGCGAGACAAGAATTGTTTAGATTTCCCGATAGTTGACTGGGGGTCGATGATGGTAGATTGACGATGGTGAGGTTTTTAGGACTGACTCGTGGATTCGCCGATGAGCCGCGGGAAATCACCTCCAGGGTCAACCTGACAAGTGAATCTAGTGAAAATGGGTGGCTCATCAGGTTTTTTGACTCGGCATTCTTCTGCGAATGGATTGCTGTTAGCTACTTGTACAAGCATGATCATTCTGGTGTACGTGACTATCTCTGTAATCGAATGTATACCCTTCCCTTACAGGGACTTGAGAGTTATTTGTTTCAAATATGTTACATGATGATACACAAACCAAGCCCATCTTTGGATAAATTTGTTATAGATGTGTGCTCAAAGTCACTTAAGATTGCTTTGAAGGTGCATTGGTTTTTATTAGCGGAGCTTGAGGACTCTGACGACAACGAAGGGATTAGTAGGATTCAGGAAAAGTGCCAGACAGCGGCTACATTGATGGGTGAGTGGCCACCTCTCATACGACCTCAAACTGAACCTCCGAGCCCTGGAGGCAAGAACATTGTTTTGAACAAGTTGCTGTCATCAAAACAACGTCTGTTTTCTCTAACATCTTCACCGCCCACAGACAAGTCTGTATCATCCTCACCTTCTCCAGGGAACAATTTGCAAGAGGATGGTCCTGGTAGTCAAATGTCTCCTGATGAGAACAATATATTTAAGAAACTCATTCCAGGCCCAAAGGTTAGAGATGCTTTGCTTTTTAGGAAGTCAGCGGAGAAGGATGATGATGAATCTGAAAAGGAGGGATTTTTCAAGAGACTTCTGAGAGATAGCAAGGGTGATGATGAGCTGGGCCCTAAAATCCGAGATGCATTCCTCTTTCGGAAGTCATTTGATAGAGATGAAGAAGACTCTGAAAAGGAGGGCTTCTTTAAACGGCTCATAAGGGACAGTAGGGACAGTAGAGTTGATGATGGAGACTCTGAAAAGGACGGTTTCTTTAGAAGGTTCTTGAGGGACAGTAAAGGTGAGGATGAGGAATTAACATCAAGCTCAGATGGATTTTTCAAGAGACTGTTCCGTGATAGCAAGAATGATTCTGAGGATAAAACACACACTAAGCCAATGGAAGATGAAGAAAAAGAGGGATTTTTTCGCAAGTTTTTCAGGGAGAAATTTGAAGACAAGAGGGATGGGAATGATAGGGATAATGAGAGAGATATTCCTCACTGTGAAGAAAAATGTGCAAAATATGCTGAAGAGGATGAAAAGGAAGGGTTTTTTCGTAAATTCTTTAAAGATAAATTTGAAGACAAGAAAGATTCAGATGATAAAATTGAAGAGGGTACTTCCAATGGTGAGGAAGAAGAGCTTTTTGAGTTTTCTTTGTTCAAAAAACTATTCCGTGTGCATCCTGAAGATGCTAAAAGTAGTTCAGCCAATGAAAATAATAGCACTGGTGGTCTAATTGAAAGTAGTCCAGGTACAGAGAATTTTTTTCGCAAATTGTTCAGAGATCGTGACCGTTCAGTTGAGGATTCAGAGTTATTGGGGTCAAAGAAGCACAAAGAGGTTTGCTAAATTTTGACCTGTCTTTTGTTGTATTGTTTGTGAATGTTATGTTACACTGGCGGAATTTAAACCAAAAAATAATGAACATTTTGAAATTTGAGGTATTTTCTGCATGCTGGACAAGATACTACTGCGGTGTCACTGTCTATAGCATGTTCTTGGTGAAAAGCATCTGTTAGACGCAATATAATCAAGTGTATGCCGCTTTCTATCAATAGCTAATATCAAAACCATGTGTTTTCTTGCTCTTAACTTCATTACTTGGCTCATGTTTGAGGGGGCCAATTGCTCTTTTTGTTCTTATACAACTGGTATAAGTGTTCTAGTGAAGAGTACTAGCAGTATTAATTCATTCTGAAATTTGTTTGAATTGCCTTCTTTGTTGGTTCTAGCATTAGATAAAGGGTAATTTGCTGTATATAGACTATCATGTCGCAGTTGGATGTGTGTGTATATATATCAATAAATTCATTGTCATATTAATTTTGTAGCAACATCCTGGCTCATCAAAGCAACAAAGTGAAAAATCAAACGCAAAGCCACCACTGCCAAACAATATGTTGCAGTTCCGCAAAGGGGCTTACCATGAGTCATTGGACTTTGTGCTGACATTATGTGAGACATCATTTGGGTTAGTGGATGTATTTCCAACTGAGGATCGCAAAAGTGCTCTTCGTGAGGTATTCCTCTTTCATTTTTCTTTGATGGATTCTTTATTCATTTAGTCAGCTGGCTAGGTATTTCATGGACCTTTTCCATTCTAATGTTTTGACACATTTTTGTGTTATTCCCCTCTTAGTCGCTTGCAGAGATCAATATGCATATAGAGGAGTCTCAAAATTCTGGAGGTACTTCTTGGTATTGGTATATTATATGAGTGATGTTCATTTAGGGGACATTCAATTTCATTATTTGTTGTGTACTCTGCTGAGTAAGCAAGATGTTACATTCAACTTCATGTGTGATTTTTAGTGTTTATCTAGAAAATAAACTATGGAAATAGTTTGGTTGTCAGTGGAAAGGTCATTCAATCAGTCATTGCATTAGCTTCTCACATCTCTGATAATCAATATCAGGAATATACCTTTTATTGTTCCTTAACAGCTTAATTTTAAGAACAACTGAAAAGTTTTTCCCTTTCATGTAGTTGTAATTCTTGGCTGTTAATAGTTCTTAGTTTAGCATTTTATAAAACAGGTTTAAAACTGTTTTAAATTAAACTTACTTTAATAAGTCTATAGATTTGAATTGGTTAATCATTTTTTAAATTTTTAACAGCTTATAACAACTTTTGAATCAAACAAAGATTTAGTTATTCAAACTTGAGGAATTCCCAAAAACAATTTCTGATGGCCAACTCTGTTTCACCCAGTTATCTAATCTTCAGAAGTTAGTAAAAACAATTTACTGCAAGAATACTTCCTTTGGTGGCATGCTGATTAAGTTACTGCATTTCATATTGCGAACAATTTTGTCTCCCTGCTCTTATGTAAATTTTGCTTGTGATATATTTCTAGGAATTTGTTTTCCATTGGGCAAGGGTATGTACCGTGTGCTTCACATACCTGAAGATGAAGCTGTTCTCTTAAATTCCAGGGAGAAGGCACCTTACTTGATCTGTGTTGAAGTTTTGAAATGTGAAATGCCAAGGTATAAAATAATTTTCAT